GTCTAGGTAGTCCTGTGGGTACCCGGGTCCTACTCAGTACCCACCCGACCTGAGTTACCCGTCCCAGCGGTATCCTCCCAAAACGTAGACCTGCCAAAACGCAGACCCGTACAAGTACCCTTACGTAAAATGGTATCACCCGTGTAACAAGAAAGAAAGCTGGGTAGAGTTCACAATTTTTTATTCAAATGTTATTTCATTGTCATTTATGATTATCAGTCATTTTCACTTGTTTATCATCAGTGGACCAACTGCATCCAGGTACTGAAGGGGTGTCTTTTCACGGCGATGAAGCTGTTCCTTCTCTCTGTAGACAACCTTCCTGGGTGGCGGTGCTGCTCCAAATTGCATCTGTGCTAGTTTCGCTCTCTCCGAAATTTCTACCTTCTGGATCAGTTCGATAAATCTGAAGATGTTTGGATGCTTGTGCTGGAGGGACTTGCCGATTCTGGAGTGGAAACCTTCTAGGTTGTTGTTTGTATGGGGCCCTTGTGTCGCATGGTATATCCACAGTTGAGGTGGGAACCGGGCATCGTCATCCACCCATGTCGTAACCTCCAGTACACATTTTCATTCTTCGTCCTGTACTTAGCATACGTCTAGGAGAACTTGTAGGGCACCTTTCTGGGACAAGACATACTCATCTTTCGTAAGTCCGGCCATAGCTTAATTGGACGAGGTTGAAGTTGTTGTTGCATTAGGTGTTTAAGAGGTCGCCTTCTGCCTAGGCAATTTCGGCTGACCTGTCCCTCTTTGGGACTCCTGTGTGTGAGAAGGGTTCACATATCTATTGTGAGTTCGGTGTTCACATAATTTCTGTTTTTGCATTGATATGATTTCTATTTTCTGATATTGATATGATTTCATTTTTATCCTTGGCTGCTCTGTTTATATACTTTCGAGCAGCTGTCCATCTCTCAGAAATAGAGTTAGTTTGGCCTTCGCTATTGCATCTCTTGGCTTTAGGAGATCTATGACAGATAGCGGATCTAACTGCAATTCTTGTTTTATCCTAGCCCGGGCTGGGGCATGGTCTTGACATTCTAGTAACAGGTGGTCAATGGTTTCAGCCTGATTGCAAGATGAACAAACCTTGTCATAGTGCTTTTTGTGACCAAGTCTGAGGCGTGAGATAGCAGTTTCAATTTTCCTTTCATTTGAGTATGAGTTTGGCTTTTGTTGGACCTTGGGTTGGTATAGCCATCTGCTTCTTGGGAGGTCTACATTTTGGAGGTCTACGTTATGGGAGGGAACCGTCCCAGCCCAATCCAGTTTATCAATTAAGAAACAATTTACATTTATGCTTGTGTTGCAGAAAGCATGAAAAGTTAATTGGTTCATTGTAGATTAATCCTTGTTAGCTTTAATTGGGTGTTCTTTGAAGGTTGTATACTAAATACATGTACTAATCTTTATTGCTTCAGAATACACAGTGTTCCCATTTACTTGTAATTACCAGTTTTTTACCGGTAAAATTAGGCTGGGACCAGTAATTCATGTTGCTGACTGTCCCTGTGGACTGCAAATAATGTACCTTATAAATCTTTGTTGTTGAACAAAACATCGGCGATATTCATATAAGTACATTTTTCGAACAAAGTCAGCTTTTCTGTTACCATCAGGGTTTCCCCTTGTCTATTTCTGGGTTAAATATCCATTTGTAGCGACAACGTCTCAAAATATTTAAAATAATAGAGAAAATTATGACTAAAGTTTGTGTGAATGACGTACAGATCTCACTTAGTTACTTCAGAGATGACATCTATGCACTGAACATGAAGTTGAAAGAATTAAAACCAAATAATTTTCATACGTTTTTTTATTTGTTAAACATGTTAAAAGTTGGGACTGGCAGAAATTAGGGGGGACTGGTAATTTTTAGAGTCGACAGTCCACAAGCACTGGCAGTTTCAAAAGCCAGCGAGAACACTGATACAAAAGCAATGTGACCACAATTTAATGTTTATTGAAGGTTTTTCTTGTGTTCATGTCAGATTTCATTGTGGATTTGCTCAATGGACCACAAAATGGTGTCGGAATTTGGAATAGACATGTTGCATAACACAGGCTCTCATGTATGTCATACTTTTGCATGATATGTAGCCTTGCTCCAAGGCTGTGCTGAAAGATAAGTCTGTGTATGTGTAGTAATTCTATCCTCCAAATAGGCAAGTCTAGATATGTGGACAGTAGCCTTGCTCCAAGGCTGTACTGAAGGATGAGTCCATGTATGTGTAGTAATTCTATTCTCCTAATAGGCAAGTCTAGATATGTGGACAAATTGTTCTTATTATTTACATAATCTAGAAATTATGATTTAAACCAAAAATTATTGCCTTAGAGACTTGTGCAAGTCTACATGATATGTAACAGGTGCCTGGGCAATTATCATGCTGTCCAATCATTATTTGATTTTGCTTTGAAATTCATAGAATATTTTTCGTGTCATAACAATGTGTGCTAAATATGCTGTTTTTGGAGTTGTTTCGACATGGAAACTATCCATCCTAATTGCATAAACCACTGCAGCTCTTATTAAACATATAAAACAAAAATATTTTATGTATTAATAATGCAATAGTATGTAAAATCGGCCGGCATGCCCTAAATAAATAAAAATAGCAAACATACTTTTCTACCTCTGATTCTTATTGTGTTTGTTGCACACAAGACAGGAGAGGTCCTCCATGTTCCCAAGTTTGTCCGCTACTGCAGATAGGATTGATGAAGCCGGGATTGCGCTTGCGCTTTTGACTAGGATCGCCGTTCTTCATCCTAGAATTGCTGTTTCTAGGATAGACTTTGTCAAGACGGACACCTGAAGGATCGACCACGTCAGGATGATTACCATACAGATTCAGCTGATCAGTCGTCTACTTGGTATTGCTACCTTTCAACCAGGTACTTGGATCGTTGATGTCACCGGGATTGATCCCGCTCTTGTGACTTTAACCCTCAGCGACAAGACTTTCGTTTGTCAGCCAAATGTTTTTGGCATATCTGACAGCTTTCTAACGGAGTCCATTCCCATCTCGACTGTCCAGTCTACCCCAGACAATCTGCAGTCGTTAACTTTGGCACAACTTTCAGTCCCATCGTATGGAAAGTACTTTCAGTCTGTGGATTCCACCGCCTCCCCTTTATCTTTACAGTTGGCCACATGCTTTCTTGTCTCCCAGAAGTCTACAATAGACCGTCTCTCTCCTTTACCGGCCACATGCTTTCTTGTCTCCCAGAAGTCTACAATAGACCGTCTCTCTCCTTTACCGGCCTCATGTACTGTGTTTTTCTGCTTCTTCAGCGATAGAAACTAACATTTTTAGTCCACTAAACTTTATAATGATGACATTTAGCAAAACCCTTAAAAATGGCAAATTTCTGCTATGATACCTTAACTATTGGGCAGTTTGGCAAGGACTACAGGACTAGTGCCAATTTCTAACGCTGTTCTTTATGGTTGCAGTTTCGACCTGTGAAGATCCGGGGTAGAATAGATCTTCAGCAACCCATGCTTGCCGTAAAAGGCAACTATGCTTGTTGTAAGAGGCAACTAATGGGATTGGGTGGTCAGGCTCGCTGACGTGGTTGATGCATGTCATCGATCCCCGATGCGTGGGATTCTATTCTAACCCGGATCTTCAAGGGTCTCAACACATCTGAAGGTACTGGACTCGCATCATGTTAAACCCTGAGTAGCACATTATTACATAACACGATGGCCATAAGTGACATTTCACTATATCTGGCTTACAGCTGACTACTAATACCAAGTTTGACCCTCCCTATAGAGTGAGTGAGTGAGTGAGTGAGTGAGTTGGGTTTAACGCCGCTTTTAACATTATTCCCGTCATATCATGGCGTGTCAGCTTTATGTGGGAGGAAAGCCCGAAGTGATGCAGGTCTCAGACGTTTACCACTTTGGTGAAACCAACGAGCACGGGTATGGTGCTGACAAACCTAGAAACATAATCGGGGCGAACCGGGGATCGAACCCACAATCATAGGTTTCTGGCGTGCCCAAGGGACGCAACTCTGCACAGCGAATTGCGGCGCTTAGACGACTGGGCCACCCGTGCCCCCCCCCTCCCTAGAAGTTTCAGTCATATCTGTGGATTATGAAGGCGATGATGATAATGCAAGCTAGATAAGATCAAAGAACATTTGTTAAACACTCTATTACAATATAGTTTAAACAACCATGAAAGTGGTCCATCATTATCTGACCTCAGGTCATAACCATGGAGTGGCCAATCACGGACATGGAATTTGATCTCTCACGTTTAATACCAGCTATCACAAATGGCTTTCACACCTACAGGTGTGCAAGAAATTCAACTCTGATATGATCCCTCTCTGCGTGATGAGTGAGTGAGTGAGTTGGGTTTAACGTGTCTTTTAGCAGCATTCCAGTTATATCGCGATGTGTGTGGGAGGAAAGCCCGAAGGGATACTGGTCTCGGACGTTTACCACTTCGGTATGGTGCTGACAAACCTAGAAACATGATCGGGGCGAATCATGATTTGAACCCACAATCATAGGTGTCTTGCGCGTCCAAGGGACGCAACTCTGCACAGCGAACCTCGCCTCCTTAGACAACAGGGCCACCCGTACCCCCCATGATGATCTGAATCACAATGCCATATGAGGTCAGGTCAGGGGAACTTTCCAATCAGCTTTGAGGCTTCTAAATTCTTGGTATGAGTAAAGCAAATGAGTATTTGATTTTTGTTTATTAAGATAAAAATTTATGAACTGAGTTGGTAAAGAAATCAAATTAGAAGGCTGACATCTGATTGGTTCAAGAACCCACACATCCTTCATATAGACTGGAAGGTCAAAGTTCACTTAGGGTTCACCTGAGGTGACCTATTGAGGGGCTTTCGGATCTTCACATCGGGAGTTATCCTATTGAAGTAAAATATCAGATTTTAAGGAGATTGCTCGAATATCTGCCATGACAGAACTACAAGTTCCATGACACTAAATTGTCTTCTTTCAGATGATATCATTAAGCGTCGTCTGCTGATCGAAGGAGAAGGTGGAAATGATGACAAGCGACTAAATAACCTTCTGAAGCAGTTCATCCGATGGTGCAACTCCCCTGATGATGAAGAGAGGTAGGATACTCAGTTCTTGTTGATTCAAAGGGCCATGGGAGCTCATGTCATGGATTGTTGTAGTTGTGGATTGATTGAATAATCAATCTGGACATTCGAAACAATTACTGATTGCCAAATTGTCTAATTGGAAAAGAATTTCTGTATGTTTTTTGTAAGTTTTACAGTTTTAAGCCTGCTCCGTATTTTGCGAAAACAACAAGCAACCAGTTTGTAGTAAAGCAACACAACAGTTGCCATTTGTATGTTGTCCTTTTTTTGTAACTATCTATTACTTCCCTGTAGGGATTTCGGGTTAGAATTGGCCCCGAGCAACATGCCGGCATCTTGGTCAAAAGAGACAACCAAATGGATTGGGTGGTCAGTCTTGGTGACTTGGCTGATTGCATGTCATCGTATCCCGATGGCATAGACCATTGCTTATGAAATAAATTATCTGGTCCAGAGAGTCCAGAGAGAGAAACTGAAAATCTTCACAGTGTGATGTATTAACTGAAGCACTCGTACAATCACCATCATTACCAAGCTTTCTAACAATTTCATACTCACAGGCTTTTTATCCAGTGTCATTTGGGAGAATATGAACAGGCTATATTATGGCTGTAGTTTCAAGTGTATGACAAGGGTGCTGTGTTTTGTTCTCTCCAGTGTACGATATGTTGCTGTGTATGACTAGAATGTTGTGTTCTCCCCAGTGGTATTGTGTACCAGCGCATCATGTCCATGCTGGCCCAGTGTGAGTTCACCATGGAGATGTCTCTACTAGTGTACGATATGTTGCTGTGTATGACTAGAATGTTGTGTTCTCCCCAGTGGTATTGTGTACCAGCGCATCATGTCCATGCTGGCCCAGTGTGAGTTCACCATGGAGATGTCTCTACTAGTGTACGATATGTTGCTGTGTATGACTAGAATGTTGTGTTCTCCCCAGTGGTATTGTGTACCAGCGCATCATGTCCATGCTGGCCCAGTGTGAGTTCACCATGGAGATGTCTCTACTAGTGTACGATATGTTGCTGTGTATGACTAGAATGTTGTGTTCTCCCCAGTGATATCGTGTACCAGTGCATCATGTCCATGCTGGCCCAGTGTGAGTTCACCATGGAGACGTCTCTACTAGTGTACGATATGTTGCTGTGTATGACTAGAATGTTGTGTTCTCCCCAGTGATATCGTGTACCAGTGCATCATGTCCATGCTGGCCCAGTGTGAGTTCACCATGGAGATGTCTCTACTAGTGTTTGATACGTTGCTGTGTATGACTAGAATGTTGTGTTCTCCCCAGTGGTATTGTGTACCAGCGCATCATGTCCATGCTGGCCCAGTGTGAGTTCACCATGGAGACGTCTCTACTAGTGTACGATATGTTGCTGTGTATGACTAGAATGTTGTGTTCTCCCCAGTGATATCGTGTACCAGTGCATCATGTCCATGCTGGCCCAGTGTGAGTTCACCATGGAGATGTCTCTACTAGTGTTTGATACGTTGCTGTGTATGACTAGAATGTTGTGTTCTCCCCAGTGGTATTGTGTACCAGCGCATCATGTCCATGCTGGCCCAGTGTGAGTTCACCATGGAGATGTCTCTACTAGTGTACGATATGTTGCTGTGTATGACTAGAATGTTGTGTTCTCCCCAGTGGTATTGTGTACCAGCGCATCATGTCCATGCTGGCCCAGTGTGAGTTAGTGGAGATGTCTCTACTAGTGTACAATATGTTGCTGTGTATGACTAGAATGTTGTGTTCTCCCCAGTGGTATCGTGTACCAGCGCATCATGTCCATGCTGGCCCAGTGTGAGTTAGTGGAGATGTCTCTACTAGTGTACGAGCTGTTGCTGTGTATGACTAGAATGTTGTGTTCTCCCAAGTGGTATTGTGTACCAGCGCATCATGTCCATGCTGGCCCAGTGTGAGTTAGTGGAGATGTCTCTACTAGTGTACGATATGTTGCTGTGTATGACTAGAATGTTGTGTTCTCCCCAGTGGTATTGTGTACCAGCGCATCATGTCCATGCTGGCCCAGTGTGAGTTCACCATGGAGATGTCTCTACTAGTGTACGATATGTTGCTGTGTATGACTAGAATGTTGTGTTCTCCACAGTGGTATCGTGTACCAGCGCATCATGTCCATGCTGGCCCAGTGTGAGTTCACCATGGAGAAATCCCTGCTGGTGTATGAGATGAACCTCCGCGAGCAGGAGCACTACGACCAGCTCAGTAAGGACATCGGTGAGTACAGGATCTCTTCATGAAAAGCATCCCCCTGTCTTCAGTATAGAACCAGCCCACCACTTTATGGCTTACAACTCCTGGTTTATTATGTATAGCAACATTTCCATGTAGATTATTACACCGTTATCAAGCGAAATGTCACCATTTGCAATATATTTATATATACATGATATAAGTTGTTAGCCATAAAGTTGTGTGTTTTCTTATTTACTCAATAACTTCTTGAATGCCGGGGTCACGGGTGGCCAAGTCGTCTAAGGCGCCGCGATTCGCTGTGCAGAGTGGCGTCCCTTGGGCACGCCAGAAACCTACGGTTGTGGGTTCGAATACCAGTTCGCCCCGATTATGTTTCTAGGTTTGTCAGCACCAAACCGAAGTGGTAAACGTCTGAGACCTGGTTCACTTCGACTTTCCTCCCACATTAAGCTCACTCACTCACTCTTGAATGCCAATCAAACATTCTCTCTTAAACCAAAAGTTTGTGCTTCTCAGAAGAGTGTGGTCATGGTTTCTAATTACTTTGGTTTTGCATTTTGGACAGACAAATAACCTTTATCAGGCATACATTTTGAGTAGTATTCTGTCTTGTGTAAGGCTAAAAATAAATAATAGTCTCAGGCAATGCTCGCATCATTTGAAAGTCCGCCACACGTTTCTTTTTTATTTCCATTTTCCAAAAAATCAAATAAATCCTAATACTTGCAAACAATGTGATCCAATAAAAGCACACAGTTACTTCCCTTTACATGCACACGGCTTTACTGTACATCTTGTGTTATAGTCATGGCGGAGTTGTATGATTGTTTATGTAGGGAGGCCCTTTCACAGGTTGATGGTATACAACTGTTTATTTGGTTACATACTATACTCAACAACAAAAGTTCCTGTGACACCAATATTTTAGTGTATTTTTCAAACAAGTAAAGTTTGATTTTCAATATTGTAGTACATGTATTGAATCAAGTCACAAAAACACAATTGCTACAGAAAAGCATGCATTCCATGCAAAAGTTGACTTTTATGCATGCCCCATGCATTTCACTACCCAAGAATGGGTATAAAAACGTGTGTTAACGGGATTCCATATGCATTGTTTAGCATTGTGCTGACAACAACCACTCAGAAAAACAACAAAATAATGCAATTATTCAACATTACAAAATGCCAAGCCTGTCCGAAAATGAGCGTCTGCGAGCCATTGGTATGCTTGAAGCAGGATTGAGTCAACGTGATGTTGCAAGACAATTTAACGTCCACAGAAACACCATTTGGTGTTTATGGCAATGTTGGCAACAGACGAATGCAGTCTGAGACCATCCTCGGAGTGGCAGGCCACACATAACCAATAATCGTCAAGACAACTGGATTAGAACAACACAGCTACGAAATCGATTCCACCCAGCAACAGTGACTGCAAGAAGTATCCCTGGCCTTCGATGAATATCTTCTCAAAGGGATTGTCGCCAGAAGACCCGCCAGACGTCCCATTTTGACAGGAAACCACCGTCAAGCACGTCTACAGTGGTGCAGACAGTGTCTACACTGGACGGCCATGCAGTGGGGACAAGTTCTATTCACTGACGAGTCTCATTTCACCTCAGCCACAGCGATGGACGGATTCGAGTGTACCGACGTTGAGGTGAACGTTACGTCAATCATTGTTTCATGGAAGAAGATCTGTTCGGGGGCGGCAGCGTTATATTATGGGGTGGGATTACAGCAAGCCAGAGGACCCATTTGATAGTGGTAGAGGGAAATCTCAATGGACAGCGCTACCGCGACGAGATCATCAGCCCTGTTGTTCTACCGTTTTAATGTTGTCATGGCCCAGGCATTACCTTTCAACATGACAACGCCTGGCCTCATATTGCTCGACTTGTTCAGGACTCTCTTCAACAAAACAACATGAAGGTCACACCCTGGCCAGCCCACTCCCCTGATCTCTCACCAATCGAGCACATGTGGGATGAGATGGATCGGCGCCTTCGACGTCAACCACGTGTTCCACAGACACAGCAGGAACTTCGAAACATGCTCCAGCAGATATGGACAGATATCCCACAGGACTTTGTGCAACGCCTTGTCCATTCCATGAGACGAAGGTGGGTTGCTTGCATCGCAACCAGAGGTTGACACACGCTATTGATTTGTAAATTGACATTTTGACATGTTCATGTTTTTTATGAAATCACTCACTTTCTGAAATCAGTATGGCATATTAAACCATTTGAACACTTACTGGAGTCTTTTATCTGTTGCAAACCGAAATTGTTTCAGATTTGGTAAAAACATAACTTTGCATTAAATCTTATTCAATGTCACAGGAACTTTTGTTGTTCAGTGTTCAGTATACATGGTATAGTTTGAACAAGCAAAAAAAAAAGAAGAAAAAACACTGCCCGCCCGCACTTTATTTTCAGAACCATTTCTTTTATTTTTTTAAGCCTAATGTGCTGAAGTTCAAGTAACCTTCAATAGTTTCTTCTTAAATATTTACCATGCTTGTAGATATTTCTTGCTGCAAATAGATATGTCATGAAGCAATATTCACTCCCTTCAAAACCTTAAAATTTTCTTCTGTATTCCTGTTTTCTGACCATTACAAATTGGTGTCCGTATCAATAATTGATGACCCATGGTGTTACTAGTAGCAACCCCATGCTGATGTATACTCACCTTCAGTGGCAAGTGTCCTTAGTTGAGTTAGGATCTGCAGGTCATGGGGTTAAATCATCTGGATTGTAACACACCAATGCTTGTGAGATTCACCAGCACTCTGACCTGTGTCACTCTGCATTTCCTCACGTGTAAACATTAACCAGACGTGTGTTGTAAGAGATCAAGCATTAGTATTTGGCACGAGGGGAATCCTGGGGTTTTGTGCAACCTGTGGCGAAAGTGGAACAAATTAAAAAAAATTTAAAATCACAAGTTTTAACACGATTCTCAAATGGTCGGTCCCCATCTGAAATACTCTTCATATTTGCTTGAAGCCTAACTCGCTCATGTATTTCTTCCAGAGAAAAAAATAAAGTCAGCCACGTCTCAGATTGCCGAGTGCAAGACAGAGTTGCAACAGGCCAAGAGGATACGCAAGAACAGACAAGGTGAGATAACTCTGCTGGAGGATGGGGATCAATACGGTCCATATTGCACATTAGCACAGTGTTTTTGATATTGACACTTGTTATGACCAAATTTGAAACCTTCTTGCACTAACAATTATTTTGAATTTCAACAATTTCACTTGTCCAGTGACAAGATAAGATATTTATGTTATTTTGCAAGGCACAACAAATATTGTATTTATTATATTCTAAAATGTGATTGACAACAATTAGTTAAACTTGAATTAATCCTTTGGAATCCATCCTTCGTTTGACCTTGAATTCTTTTGGCACATGCCTTGAGGTCAAAGGTTAAGGTCATAAGACAGAAAACAATTAGCAGTGATTAGACTTTGTGATTACATTTTCACATATATGCATTTATAATTAATCTTCGCATATACCTTTTCTAAGATAGGGCCCTGCCTTGAGAAGGTTTTGGTCAACATTATTCAAAGGTCAAGGTCATCTTAAGTTTCGTTGAAATACGGTTGCATCATGCATTGCCAGTTGCTGTTGCACCTTCCTCAGACAGAGATGTGGAAATTGTTGCATCTTTAGAAGCTGTCTTGATGAAGGTCGAGGTGGGGCAGGAATGTTCTTCGACTGGAAGTGCATGATGGTTTAATGAGATTTTGGGGCTTTGGGGAAATAACTGAGATAGAGGCTGCTTCTGTTTTGCAAGTACTTGCAATGACCTCTAACAGATTATCTTATGTTATCAGTTGTTTGTGATGATAACATGGTTTATGTCAATGTCCGGGTATGTCATAACCACATCTCATATTCAATGTTGGTACCCTTTGTATCATACATCATGTTTTCACACATAATGTGTGCCATGTGTAAAGAACTAATAACACTGACTTTTTATTTTAGAGTATGATTCCTTGGCCAAAGTTATACAGAAACATCCAGACAGGCAGGACACCACGAGGTGAGTTAGCCATTTATTGTCTAATAGTGACCTCCCTTTGTGCACCTCGGCCTCACAAATGGCACTGGAGCCAAACATGTTCAAGTGATGTGAATTGGAGCCAAACAGATGTTGGTGTATCAGTACTTGGCATACAATAGATCTCTTGGCATGTTTTATTTTGATAATTCCAATGTACAAACTGCTACCGTATTTTCTTGAGTATAGTGTGCACTTTTTTTCCAAAAAACACACCTGTGTAGAATGGGGTGCGCATTATACACAAAATAATGAGTTTTGATGGGTTTTTCCCCCATGGAAAGATATTACTGTGAGCACGTAACACCGGAAATACCATGTCAACAAATCCATACTGAAGTACGCATAATCATCTTGTAATTACACTGTCTGGCTACAAAAAGTGTTCTTTGTACATCTGGACTTATGTATGTAACTTATTTCATTAATTTTATTCAAAATTCCTTTTGATATTGTTATAATTAATTTTGGCGAAATCGTGTGTAAAGCGATCGGAAGATCGCCCAACTCACCGTTATTAACAGCAACCACGGTCAGATTACCTTTATTGACGCCTTGAAACAAACATTAGTTGACAGAGGATGGATACATATATCATAAATGCCATACTTTGACTCGTTAAAAGTCATATTTGTTATAGTTTGACGATTCTATGTCAACATGTAGTTCTCGCGATCACGCGATAACGTGCACGGGAGCCTATCTGTAATTCTAAGATGCTTCACTAAAAAATCAAAGGCACCTGCTGTGCTTTATCCTGCAATAAAGTACACTTCCTGAGTTTCGTCATAATGGGCTGACGTCATGACACTGTTCAAAGTATCTCCCACGTGATCTGACGTATCCTTGGTAACATCCTACTTTCATTACTGTCATTACAAGATGGCGCATCCAAATTGGTTATCGGCGAAATAGTTTCTTTAAGCTTGTAGAATATTTGAATTTTATTACCTTGAAAGAAATATGGAAAGAAGATTGTCAACCATCTCTCATGCTGTAGGCTTATCCTAAACATATTCAAACCACTGTGTCCATGCCACAACAGTCACAGAATTGTCCAAGGCGGGCGTTGGTTCCCTGCAAATTTTGTATGCCTCTCAGGAAAAATGGAATGAGCAATCCTTGAAAAGTTTTATAACCACATGCATGTACACCTGTTGCTCAGCGTACATCATTTAACAATATACAGCAGTCAAAGAAACCATCTGCTGTTGCCTCTTCGGCCATGCTTGCCAATGAAGGCAACTATGCTTGTCTGAACAAAGTCAACGGAATTATCATGTACAGCAGGAACACTTAATTATGTTTTGTCGATATGAAAATGGCATTCGTACATAAGCCTTTAAGGGCGATTCTTTTGTTTGTTTTTTCTTGAAACTTCAAAACATTAAGTTGAAATTTCAAGATACATACTTAGTTGAAATTTCAAGATATTAACTTACAATTTTAAGATAATAACTTGAAATTTTAACTTAGTATCTTAAAATTTCAAGAAAAAAAACAATGGCCCTAAAAGGCTTCTGTAATTCGACTCCGTGTAAAGAAATGACACAACCTTTCGCTATTCATAGACATGTAACCGAATTAGTGCGTGGAGAGGAACAAACTTCCGAGACATTGGTTACGGGATGAGAACGTTTAATTCCATTCATGTCGGCTATACAGTCACTACATCGAGTTAAATGCTGAGTAAAGTTGATGCTGAGAAGACCGACTGGCTTGATGTGACAGAAGGGGTAAAACAAGGCTGCTGCTTGTCACCGACATTGTTTTAAATGTATATATACCATTTTGCTGACCAAATTGGTGAACTACAGTGCGGAGGCGACATCGACAACATCTATGTCTCGTTACTATCATATGCTGTTGATGCTGTGTTAATAGCGCCAGATTAAACCAAGTTACAACAGCTCAAGACCCGTGAAGATCCGGGGTAGAATAGGTCTTCAGTAACCCATGCTTGCCGTAAGAGGCGACTATGCTTGTCGGCGACTAACGGGATCGAGTAGTCAGGCTTGTTGACTGGGTTGATGCATGTCATCGTATCCCAATTGTGTAGATCGATGCTCATGATGTCAATCACTGGATCTAATCAAGTCATTTTTAAAAGCTAGTGTTGATGATTTACGGGAGGCAATATTATGGGCAGGAGTTTGCCAAAGACAGATAATAGGTGCACATGCAGCTTTTTAATTTACGAGGCGGTCATGCCGAAGGCCCAGCTTCGATATCCCAGATGGGTATTGCTAAAAGCAGCCCAAAACCTCCCTCCTTCTCTCTCTCTCTCTCTCTCTCTCTCTCTCTCAGGGCGGTCAAGTAGCCTAGTGGTTAAAGCATTCGCTCGTCACACTGAAGACCCGGGTTCCAGGGCGGACTTACAATCACACTGCCCCTCTAGATCCCTGCTATCACTACTAACTCAGCAAACTGCTCACGGTTAATCCCTCAGAAGGAAAAAATCTCTGATTCTGTTGACGTAAGTTGTCCGACTTCCCACCTCAATTAAAGCTTCTCTCGTACGAACGTGCAACCTTGCGCACGTGATGTGCATGAGGATATACTGCATAGACACATCAAAGCTTGTCCCAGACAGGCACACAGGCTCCAGGTGCATGAATAGAAAACTCATTGGCTACATTTGACGACTGACATTTCTTCTATTTCAACCCATCCTTTCCTCTTGATAAGGGGGGGTCAGGAAGCCTAGTTGTTATATTTAAGCGTTCGCTCGTCACGCGGAGGACCCAGGTTTCGATTCCCAACATCGGTACAATATGTGAATCCCATTTCTCGTGTCCCCCGCCGTGATATTGCTGGAATATTGCTAAAAGCAGCGTAAAACCACTCATTCACTCACTCACTCACCCACCCACCCACCCGCCCGCCCGCCCACCCGCCCGCCCGCCGGATAAGGATGTTTGGGCTTTAAACCCAAACTGTGCATGACCACTGACAACACCAATTACCTCATTGAAACAGTTTTCAATAGTGCAAGACATGCCAGACTGAGGCTTCTTCAATACATCCGACACTTTACTCTCCAACAGCGTGTACCCTCCTGTGAGGTTCAAGGACAAACACTCCGTAAAGCTAGTTCAGCTACTTTTTCTGATATGAAGGTGTGATTTGAATGTGTGTTGGGGACGGTGATATTAAAGATCAACAACAGTAGGTTGTGTGTAAGCGATCTTTCAAGCCATGCTTCAGGTGTTAAGAGAGGAGGAAAACACACTCACTATCCAACTACTTGAGCTGAATAGTAACAAGATATCTTCAAAAGACTTCCTCAGCCGCTTGTTCAGTTTTTCTTGGATTTTTCAGTAGTCGGTCATCGTGTGAAGGATATGTCTCTTCTTGGCATACTTTTGCCTTTTACGTTTTTGACAGGTGTTCTTTTTGTTTTTTTGTCAATGGATTTGATTTGCACCATTTATGTGCATGCTATGCATACACTTGCTTACTTTAGGTTTATTTATTTATTTTTTGATCTTATTTTTGTAAAAAAAATTCAAAAAAAAAATAAAAAAATAAATAATAACAAAAAATAATTAAAAAATAAGAAAAGCTTACCTTAGGGCTTTTGGGCTCCATCAGTTTGTCAAACGTCAGTGGCAACCAGTATGAATACAAGGATGATATTTGTATTCGTTAGTAAGGGATAAGCAGGTCGTCTGAGTTGAAAAACAACCATTAGAATTTTTATTTTACAGAGTTATGGCCCTTGTCTTTTGTACATGGTGCACAGGACCAACTGCACCTATGTTAGCGGGATTAACAAACGTGATAAACATCTGACACCTGCACTACTTCAAATTTTCCTCCCACATCAAGCTGACATGACAAGATATAACTGAAATATTGTTCAAAGAGATGTTGAATTCAACTGACTCTCACTGAAATAATATCCTTTGGCATATTTTTCCAATTATCAATTAATTAACTGGCGGAGTTGATAGGACTTCTTTGCATACTTTGACTTTGTTTGTAATGTGTCATTTTGATGAGGCTTGAAAACAATAGCACTTTATGGGTTTTTATCGACCTGCTCTGCAGCAATGTTAGTGTACAAAATCCCAAATTGGAATTACCCAAATTATAATAATGTAGTTATAATTAGTGTTATGGTTTTGTAGAGGTAACGTGTATATCACTGATAACAGGACCAATATAGAATTTTTTTTGCAATGTTAAAATACCTCAGAATTTAGGAAAACAAGAAAGTAAATTTTGAACAAAAATATTTTTATTTTTCAAAATTTGTCTGCCAAGGGCACTTAGTTTAGAAATCTATCTAAGTCCCTGCATATTTATTTAGGATGTGTGGGCCAATATCATGATATAAGCCAATGTTTTGTATTTATTTGAAAGAGGATTATGTTTTACAGACAACTCCAGAGTTTGGACAAAGAACTGACATCACAGACAGAGACCAAGCAGAAACTGGAAGAAAAGGTACGAGTTATCTCCCATTATTTTGTTGACTGATTCGGGGAAAGACAGAATTTATGTTCGTAGTTTTGAAAGAGTACAAGAACACATCTCTCCCAAGATAACTGATATTGTAGTGTTAAGACGTCATTATGTCATATTCCAGAAAGCTGCCTCCGTGGTATAGTGGTATAGAGTCCGCCAGAAAGACAGAATTATGTGGTATAGTGGTATAGAGTCCGTCAGGAGAGTGGCGGGTCCCTGGTTCCATCCCTGTCCGCGTCATAGCTCATAGACGTTAAAAGATGGTTCTTGTTGTTACCCTGCCTGGCGGTAAAAATTTAGGGGCTGAAACAAGACCGGTCGGCTCGGAGTCAGTATACTGTGTCTGAGTGGGGTATTCATGTTAAACTGCAGCATTGTATCTCAGTGGGCTAGCACTACAAAATCGGCATTAGTCCGGACTAGTACAACCAGCCACACACACACACACACACACACACACACACACATACACATGCATGCACATCGCTATAAAAGGGGAATAATTTTGGATGTGACGTTAAACCCCATTTCACCTCACCTCATATTCCAGGGTATGTTGGACAGCAGCTTGTTTTCTGAGCCAGATAATTTATATCATGATTATTTGGTGACAATTTTTTGGTCAGGTTAATTGAACCAGTCAAAAGTAAACAAGACGATAGGTAATGGTGACTGTGAATATTCAGCTGTCCTTGGGTCAAACAGGATTGTATTGTTACACTGACGTGTCATTTTCAGTTGGAGTTGAGGAGAAAACAGTTCCTGGTACTGATTACTGCCATCCATGAGCTGCAAAGAATACTTGATGGTGAGTGAGTTACACGATCCATGAGCTGCAGAGAATACTGGATGGTGAGTTTGTTACACGATCCATGAGCTGCAGAGAATACTTGATGGTGAGTGAGTTACACGATCCATGAGCTGCAGAGAATACTTGATGGTGAGTGAGTTACACGATCCATGAGCTGCAGAGAATACTGGATGGTGAGTTAGTTACACGATCCATGAGCTGCAAAGAATACTGGATGGTGAGTTAGTTACACGATCCATGAGCTGCAAAGAATACTGGATGGTGAGTTTGTTACACGATCCAGGAGCTGCAGATAATACTGGATGGTGAGTGAGTTACACGATCCATGAGCTGCAGAGAGTACTGGATGGTGAGTGAGTTACACGATCCATGAGCTGCAGATAATACTGGATGGTGAGTTTGTTACACGATCCATGAGCTGCAGAGAATACTGGATGGTGAGTTTGTTACACGATCCATGAGCTGCAGATAATACTGGATGGTGAGTGAGTTACACGATCCATGAGCTGCAGAGAATACTGGATGGTGAGTGAGTTACACGATCCATGAGCTGCAGATAATACTGGATGGTGAGTGAGTTACACGATCCATGAGCTGCAGAGAATACTGGATGGTGAGTGAGTTACACGATCCATGAACTGCAGATAATACTGGATGGTGAGTGAGTTACACGATCCATGAGCTGCAGAGAGTACTGGATGGTGAGTTAGTTACACGATCCATGAACTGCAGATAATACTGGATGGTGAGTGAGTTACACGATCCATGAACTGCAGAGAATACTGGATGGTGAGTGAGTTACACGATCCATGAGCTGCAGAGAATACTGGATGGTGAGTGAGTTACACGATCCATGAGCTGCAGAGAATACTGGATGGTGAGTGAGTTACACGATCCATGAGCTGCAGAGAATACTGGATGGTGAGTTTGTTACACGATCCATGAGCTGCAGAGAATACTTGATGGTGAGTGAGTTACACGATCCATGAGCTGCAGAGAATACTGGATGGTGAGTTAGTTACACGATCCATGAGCTGCAAAGAATACTGGATGGTGAGTTAGTTACACGATCCATGAGCTGCAAAGAATACTGGATGGTGAGTTTGTTACACGATCCAGGAGCTGCAGATAATACTGGATGGTGAGTGAGTTACACGATCCATGAGCTGCAGAGAGTACTGGATGGTGAGTGAGTTACACGATCCATGAGCTGCAGATAATACTGGATGGTGAGTTTGTTACACGATCCATGAGCTGCAGAGAATACTGGATGGTGAGTTTGTTACACGATCCATGAGCTGCAGATAATACTGGATGGTGAGTGAGTTACACGATCCATGAGCTGCAGAGAATACTGGATGGTGAGTGAGTTACACGATCCATGAGCTGCAGATAATACTGGATGGTGAGTGAGTTACACGATCCATGAGCTGCAGAGAATACTGGATGGTGAGTGAGTTACACGATCCATGAACTGCAGATAATACTGGATGGTGAGTGAGTTACACGATCCATGAGCTGCAGAGAGTACTGGATGGTGAGTTAGTTACACGATCCATGAACTGCAGATAATACTGGATGGTGAGTGAGTTACACGATCCATGAACTGCAGAGAATACTGGATGGTGAGTGAGTTACACGATCCATGAGCTGCAGAGAATACTGGATGGTGAGTGAGTTACACGATCCAGGAGCTGCAGATAATACTGGATGGTGAGTGAGTTACACGATCCATGAGCTGCAGAGAATACTGGATGGTGAGTGAGTTACACGATCCATGAGCTGCAGAGAATACTGGATGGTGAGTGAGTTACACGATCAATGAGCTGCAGAGAATACTGGATGGTGAGTGAGTTACACGATCCATGAGCTGCAGAGAATACTGGATGGTGAATGAGTTATACATACAAACATTGCCAGGTAGTCATTGATAACAACACGTGTGGCCAAGTCATGTAAGGTGCCGTGATTCATTATGCCTAGTGGTTAAAGAGTTCGCACGTCACGCCGAAGATCCGGATTCGATTCCCGACATGGGTATGTATGAAGCCCATTTCTGGTGTCCCCCACCGTCATATTGCTGGGATATTGCTAAAAGCGTCCTAAAACCATGCTCACTCACTCACTCATTATGCAGAGTTGTGTCCCTTGGACATGACAGAATCCTATGGTCATGGTTTCTAATTCCAGATATGCCCTGATTATGTTTCTAGGGTTGTCATGCTTTCCTCCCACATCAAACTGGCAGAGATACAACTGAAATGTTGTTCAATGTGCATTAAGCAAAACTCATTGCGACTCTTGGGACTTTTCTCCCATATAAGATAGGTATGCGATAGATCGCAAAGAACAATGAAGAACGAAACATGGTTTATTTCACGATAAAACATTGTTCTTAACATTTACATCATATCTGCTCGCAACTTGATGACGTCAAATATTGGATGACATTATTTTTTAGAGGGAAGTGTCTAGTTAACGCAGATAAACGCAGTGGCCGAACGATCGCATCTAAAAGTGTGCGAGATATGACAATCGGTATTAGGAGAAAAGGTATGGATAATCGATGTGAGGATTGTGAGAGTTTGCGGGAAATACCAAACTTAACCCACCTGTTTGTAAAGCTTTACCCTGTGGGGATTTCGCGTCACAATTGGTCCCCAGCAACCTATGCTGGTCATATGAGGCGACATAGTAAATCAGATGGTCAAGTTCATTGACTTGGTATGCTGACAGTGTGGATTTTTGGTCACAATATCAATGTTCAGGGCCCCATTCCTCAAAGCAATCTCAGCGCTACGATGATCTTAAGACTATACTTAAGTATGGGACTTATGATCACCTTAGTGCTAAGATCGCTTTGAGGAATGGGCCCTGGATTGTGTGGACCAGACTGGTTTAATAACAGACCGCAGTCATATAGCTGGAATATTGCTGAATGTGGTGTTAAACAACCAATAAACACACAACTCTTTCTCTTTCCCACAAGTTTAATCTGTCCATGTACAAATCGTGATCTGTGTTTCAGAGGATGAGAAGGCGGAGGAAGCAATGGAGACCGGCTAGAACCTGTCACACATCCACACACCACCATCATCCCTCAACATGTCATCATGCAGTTCTCCAGCCTTTGTAAACAGGAAGAGGACATTCACATTTTAGCCTCCATTTCATTTACGAAATTATCAGAAAATAAATGTTCCACCTAGGTATGCTTTAAGCATGAATGTTTAGCAGAAATAAACATGTCATATTTTTTATCATGTATTCTGTGTTTTATTGTTGAAAATTCTGTATTAAATTCTTATGAAGAGGGTTGAGTGAGATTTTACTCTGCTTTTAGCAATATTCCAGCAATATCACGGAGGGGGACACCAGAAATGGGCTTCACACATTGTACTCATGTCGGGTATCAACCCAAGTCTTCAGCGTGACGAGCAAACGCTTTAATATAACCACTAGGCTACCAGACCGCCCCTGATCAAGAGGAAAGGATGGGTTGCAATAGAAGAAATGTCAGTCATCAAATGTAGCAAATGAGTTTTCTATTCATGCACCTGGAGCCTGTGTGCCTGTCTCGGAGCTGGGACAAGCTTTGATGTGTCTATGCAGTATATCCTCATGCACATCACGTGCGCAAGGTTGCACGTTCGTACGAGAGAAGCTTTAATTGAGGTGGGAAGTCGGACAACTTACGTCAACGGAATCAGAGATTTTTTTCCTTCTGAGGGATTAACCGTGAGCAGTTTGCTGAGTTAGTAGTGAAAGCAGGGATCTAGAGGGGCAGTGTGATTGTAAATCTTATGCTTGGTCACAAGGATAAAATGACATCACGACTTGAATGAATATAAAATAACTGCCTTGGCGGCCGTCGGTTTTAAAAACATTCCAAATGAAACTTCAATGAAAGAATTGTAAAAAAGGAGCTGGCGTCAGGAATGAGAAACAAATTCTTCCTGTCTAACTTCCAGTCAAAAGGTCATTTTCAGTGGTATTAAGAGTTTAAAGTCAGATTAAGGTGTGTGTGATTGGAATTTAATTTGCTATTCAAAGTCTAACAGACTATTCTGCAAACAGAAGTTGTTTTGGGGGGCTTATAACACAAGCCAGAATCTTGCTGAACTTTGTGTATAATTTCTGAATCTTATATGTAATTAGACCGCCTCCTTGGTCTAGTGGTAGAGCGTCCGCCCGGAGAGCGGAAGGTCCAGGGCCGCGTCATACCAAAAGACGTTAAAAGATGGTACTTGTTGTTACCCTGTGGCGCTCTGCATTAAGGGGCTAAAACAAGGACTGGTCGGCTTGGAGTCAGTATACTGTGTCTGAGTGGGGTATTCATGTTAAACTGCAGCATGGTATCTCAGTGAGTTAGCACTATAAATCGGCATCAGTCCGGGCTGGTACAAGAAGCCACACAAACACACACACGTACATGCACGTCGCTATATAAGTTCAATAATCTTGGACGCAACGTTAAACCCCATTTCACCTCACCTTGTGTACAATTAAGCACATAACTGCTGAGACTGATTTGTGACACAGATCCCAGGACCAGACAGCTCATTGGTTGCTGGTGTAAGTAGGCATTCTTGCTGCCTCCCAGATACGGTGTAGTCGAAAGTAATGTCTTCATGTGGACTAAGGGCCAATGGTCCAAGGCAATTTCACTGTGGAGAGTTGTGTTCCTTGATTATGCCAGGATCTGCAGTCGGGGATTCAGATCCCAGATTTGCCTGGATTAGTCATCTTCCCGAGGCAAGGGAGTTAACTGACTATGCTGGAATTTCTGTGCTCGAACATAGCGCCATCAGTGGCTATTACGAGTTATGTCCCTTCTATGCCCCTCTTATTGACCAATCAGATTCCACCTCTCGTATCTCGAATGTCGGCACCCAGTCAAGACGATCTGATCGATGATCAAGATATATATTGTAATAAAACAGGTCTTATCTCACGAAGTTCATCAAACCATGAAATGATTTGGAACATATCTGTCAATGCCCAGTTGACGGTACACATCTTTTGCAAATCATGCAGTCCACCAAAATCTGCATGTTGAAATCAATGTTGTTTATGAACCGGATGATGATTTTGTTTCGCGTTACAGCCTAGTTCAGCAAGGGTGGAAACTGGAATTTTATTGTCAGTTAACTCCCTTGCCTCAGGGAGATGGGATTAATCTATGTGTGTTTTCCCGAAAATTAGCAGTATATTCAACCTGACCAAAAAATACAAGCTCTCATTTCGGTTTTAGTAAGGGTATTAGAAAGATTATTTACAGATTGGCAAGTTAGATGTTGGTGGTTATTGGAGCAGGCCACTTAATAGGGCAGATACAGTGACTGCCTTTCCTGTCCAACTCTATGGGGATTCTGGTTGGATTAATCATCAAGTTGGTTGACTTGGTTAACTGTATGTCATATGAGTGTATTGATGTTGATAGTATCAATCACATTGTCTGATTGTTTATGTACAAGCTGCAGTCATGCAGCTGGAATATTGCTTTCCTCTCATGCAACTGAACATCAGGATAGAACTGACAATAAAAGTGTTGAAGGTTGTGGTAAAGCCAACACATTTTATGTGCCACCAGGTGCATCATTAGATAGAAGGATGGGCTAGCATGGATACAAGGATGGGCTAGCAGGGATACAAAGATGGGCTAGCATGGATACAAGGATGGGCTAGCAGGGATACAAGGATGGGCTAGCAGATGGGCGAGCATGGATACAAGGATGGGCTAGCATGGATACAAGGATTGGCTAGCAGGGATACAAGGATGGGCTAGCATGGATACAAGGATGGGCTAGCATGGATACAAGGATGGGCTAGCAGGGATACAAGGATGGGCTAGCATGGATACAAGGATGGGCTAGCAGAGATACAAGGATGGGCTAGCATGGATACAAGGATGGGCTAGCAGAGATACAAGGATGGGCTAGCAGAGATACAAGGATGGGCTAGCAGGGATACAAGGATGGGCTAGCATGGATACAAGGATGGGCTAGCAGAGATACAAGGATGGGCTAGCAGAGATACAAGGATGGGCTAGCAGAGATACAAGGATGGGCTAGCAGGGATACAAGGATGGGCTAGCAGAGATACAAGGATGGGCTAGCAGGGATACAAGGATGGGCTAGCAGAGTTACAAGGATGGGCTAGCAGGGATACAAGGATGGGCTAGCATGGATACAAGGATGGGCTAGCAGAGATACAAGGATGGGCTAGCAGGGATACAAGGATGGGCTAGCAGAGATACAAGGATGGTTCATTAGCAGCTCCATACCAACCACCAAAGGTGTAAATATACATCTTCTACCTGCATCATAATGGGCTTTCCTCTCACACTAGGCTTGCTTTTTAGTTTCTTTCAACTTCGGTCGCTATATGGCTGAAATAATGCTGATGCAAGTTAAATTTTAACTCACTCTTTCACTTTGAATTTTTGGAGTCGGTGGATTCCTAAACGATTTAAAAAAAGTCTGGCCTTAATTTCAAGTGACAGATAACTTAAACCCTGACACTTCAACAACAACAACAACCTAGAAAATCTTGTTTTTCTTCATTCCGGGCTCTCCAAGTTCAATGCCGCACATATTTGACTAATCCCCCATCAGGATCAGGTCAGGATATATCGTCCCATTCATCAAGCAACTGAAGAAACAGGGTTTATTTTCCCTCCTGTCTGAATCGTTGTCGTGAGTCAGAAAGCCAGCGATACGCAGTAAATGAAGTTAGTGTAAACACACAGGAAGCGCTCACGGAGACAGGTGAAAGGGGTTTTAGAAGAAAGGGGTGTTTGAAGTCACTGACACACCGAAGACAAGGTCCACCTGCTGACCTACAAGGATTACCAACAACTATAACAACAGCGTGGGTCAAACAGTTCACGATCTCACAACAGGAAGCGCCTCGCGTCCACCTGAATTGTTCCCGCCGGTCGCGCTGTAAGGTTGTAATTTAGGTAATCGTGCTTGGCGTTTGGGTCGGACAAGACACCCAAAGTCATGATGAATGGCTTTGTACGAGTTACTGTGCTTGCAATGGGGTGAATGAGTCGTATATGTTTGTTGAGTTAGTTATGTGGGGGTTCTGGATTACGTAGGCTCCCAGTATTTCTTGCTTGGCATTAGGCCCAACTGAAATGGGCATCTGATTGCCAGACTGTTCAACATGGCTGACAGACTGTGTGCCATTGTACCCAGTTAAAACACATCTGTGACGTCATTCTATTGTTTGAACGCTCCATTATTTTTGGAGAGTTGCTTCTCAACTGTACATGATCTTGAAGCAGCATTTGAATTTTTCAAATATTTTCAACTACAGAATATTTTGTCAAAGTGTAAAAGTAGGGATGACTTTTAAGTAGGGGAATATCCTCGGCTCCATTATTTTTAAGGAATGGAGAGTTACTCGGACATTCCCCTCTATATAACGTGGAGCAATGATGAGATAGCCAAGTGTTGCCTGGCCCAGTTTTCATTATGTACAGGCCGCCGGAATTGCACGTTTTTTAAGAGATATTGGTATGTTGTTACCTTTTTGACAGCTGTCATCTCAATTTTGGAAAAAAAGAAAATCATGTCTTATGTAAGTTAAAGCTCGCTCATTCGCTCATGTTTCATTAAATATGGGATATTAATTTTCCCTAGCATGTTTTTGTCCTTTTTTCGTTTTTAAGCTCTGGTCTTAAATGTGGATGAAATGCTACTCAATTTAAATAGGCAAAATCCGTAATTAAACACAGGGCTTAAAAACGTGCAGTCCTGGCAGCTGGAATATTGCTGACTGTGGCTAAAACAACAAACGGATAGAGAAACATCAGCCCAATAGTCCGTCCACGAACATTTGTCCGACTTTTTCTGTCTTCTATCTCAAACGGTATTATGCACATCAATCTAGCAGTTAAATATAATTCTAATAATACAGATAATATCTCGGTTTTGCACTAATAAAAAACGGCTGCTTCTAATTGTTTGGTGGGCGTTTCTTAGAAGTTGGCGGGTAGATACAATTTATGGATAAGAACTTCTTATTTATACTGTAATGACGTAAGGATCTATATACCGAAACGACGCCATTACAGTATAATAAATAAGTTGTTGTCCATAAATTGTGTCAACTTTGGCTTCTAGATTGTTAATGGCCAGTCCAGAAACGTTTAAAATAGTCGCAAGTCAGGTAAGATCAACTCATGGTATTGTCGCCAATCCCGTGGACCTGAGAGGGCGGTGTTGTTCCTAAAAAAGAACCTTTGGCCACGGACTAAATTACCTAATTTTAATTCATATTTTTAATCACTGACTCCATGTTCACGAAATGAATTTCAATCTTTGGTAATTGATGCCTATGGCGAATAAGATACAACATTGTAAGACTGAAATCTATCCATGTTAAACTGATTCTATATAGCGCCACTTGCCTAAATTATACCATGTCGGACATGCTCAAACTCTTCGCACTGCATTGACAAGCGGTGTTAGATAAAGTGACGTCGTAGTGAGATATTAGCATATTGGTTCATTACAACACGCCCACATATATTTTGTAAGTTAATGGCTGCTCGTATTTCAGTTTCAACACTTAGTATGTGATTTTGTTTGTTTGTTTGTTGTTTAACGCCGCACTCAGCAATATTCCAGCTATATGACGGCGGTCTGTAAATAATCGAGTCTGGACCAGACAATTCAGTGATTGACATCATGAGGGCAGCCTGAATTGGTGCAGATGGTGGGCGTTTACTACTTTGTGAAATCTACCCGTATGGGCCAGTATGAAGGAGCGAATCTATCATTCCAGCCAAGATTAGCGGATCCTGAGACGATCAAGGGACACACACACACATCGATGAACGACGCCTGGGCACTACTAAAGGGGCACGCTACTTGGGAAAGTTAGCACTCTCAGCAAGTTCGATTTAAGTCGTTCAAAGATCACTTTTTCTAATTGCTGGTTATATAGGGGATTCAGATTGGTTCTTTTCCAGGACATTGACAGATTGTCATTCAAAATATCCCGAGTCAGTGAGTAGTGTTTTATATTCCTGCAATGTCACGACGGGGGACATCAGAAATGTGCTTCACACATTGCACCTATGTGTTGATTCGAACCCGGCTCTTCGGTGTGACGAGCGAACGCTTTCACCACGAGGCTACCCCACCGTCCCCAAAATATCGTGAAGATTTTCTAACATTTGGTAATGATATAGAAGAATCTACTGTCAAAGAACAATATCATGCAATGCCCTAAAGTCATTTATCTCCTGCAAAATTCCTACATGCATCCCTTAAAACAATGACTCGATGGGTCTGGATCGATACAGAAAAACGATGTATTCCAGGTAATTAAAAGATAACAATTTACCAGTATGATTGATGCCAATGTTTGGAAGTATCTACATTTGTGTGAAGATATATACAAAAAGGTTGGATTCAGGTACATCAGGTGTTACTGCGCGTACCAGGTAACGTGTGTCTAAGGCTTGAAAGAAGACACGACAACACTTGAATGCAGAACACGTTGACCGAAGAAGAAAAACAAACCACCCTTTTTCTGATGCCCGTCATCAAAAACTAGTTTCAATATTGACGCGTAGTTACTTCAAAGATGTTTACTCAGTAACGGTAGGATTCCGTCAGACACTTGGTGTAAACAGGAAAAAGCGACTATTTTGTGGAAAACTCACTTTATTATTATTTCGATGTGACGTTTTCGGTACAGATAATAGTACCTTTATCAACCAAGTGATTGCAAGTCCTTAGCACCTGTACTGTAACTCCCCAGCGAAAGAATATAGAAATTGAGATTCATAAATCAACCGACTTCGGATAGCGAGAGACATGTGCTTGTGTCTTGGTAGTCAACAATTTCGCCACTTTAATCCAACCATTAGGAACCGCGCATTTGATAATCGTGTGGCAGGCAACGGTTTGAAGCTTTATTTTAGGGGACATTATATTTTCTCGATAAAATCCCAGTCCCCAACCCCAAAATATCAAATGGTAAGTCCCTTGCTTGCCAGTTATAATACACAAACCTGTTTTCAGTGAGTGAGTTGGGTTTAACGCCACTTTTAACAGTAGTCCAGTTATATCACGGCGTGTCAGCTTAATGTGGGAGGAAAGCCCGAAGTGATGCAGGTCTCCGACGTTTACCACCTCAGTGAAACCCATGAGCACGGGTATGGTGCTGACAAACATAGAAACATAATCGGGGCGAACCGGGATTCGAACCCACAATCATAGGTTTCTGGTGTGCCCAAGGGACGCAACTCTGCACAGCGAATCTCGGCGCCTTAAGCGACTGGGCCACCCGTGCCCCCACCTGTTTTCAACTTACACGTCAATAATCTCACTCCATGAACAGTCGTGGCAATAAACACCACTGTACATATCACAAAACACATAACAAAGTTTATAAACATTTATTGTACATAAATCTGATGAAATAACCAGTCCAAAATAAACAAGTGTTTTATTTTGTGTGAACTTCATAGCGGTACACTAAACCGTCTGTTGCTAAATTATACAAAACATAAAGGCATAATTAGAAAAATACTAAGATATTAAGCTTTGCTATTTTATACCTATTACCTGCAATAACCTGTTAGGCTGTTGTGTACACATAGCGTATTATATATAATGTGGCCTCCTCCTCCCCTACAGCCACCCCTTACCAGCCGCTAACTGAAAGTCTTTACTCCCTACATTACGGATGTTAGTTATTCAGTAATTTAAACACGCCCCTATTACAACACCTGCTTATGAGTGAGTGAGTGAGTATGGTTTTACGCAGCTTTTAGCAATATTCCAGCAATATCACGGAGGGGACACCAGAAATGGGCTTCACACATTGTACCCATGTCGGGAATCGAACCCGGGTCTTCGGCGTGACGAGCGAACGCTTTAACCACTAGGCTACCCGACCGCCCCTCCTACTTATGAAAAGAACGATTGTAGTCATCGATCACTAATCTGTAAGTGGCGTTTTCTCCTTACAATACGGATGTTTATTTATTTTTAAAAATGGTATTATAATCATCTCTCTGTTATCTTTTTTTTGTTATTGACTACAAAGATTTGACCTCTTGCAGTGCCAAGTTTACTTATTTATCTCACCTTCACTCTTTGCCATCTATGTAGTATGTACCACTAGCTATTGATTAAGACCTGTTTACCCCTACATCTGCCAAGTTTAATTAAAATGTTACTCCTTAACATCTATTTTTTGTTGTTGTATATTATGAAAAGTCAGAATCAAATAATGATTTATTTTTATGTTTATTCTTTTCTTCTTTAAAAGTGGCATCACCATGTATCCACCTATATATTAGTACTACCATAAAGAACCTTCTCACTCTTTACTCTGCTGCAGTTTAATCATCAAAACGTCACTTTTAACCATCTCTCTATAACCTGAATTAAATCTGATGACTACAGCTAATCGGTCCTTTTCCCCAATTTTGATGAGAACGTTTATCCCTTTTATATTTCTCAATTAAGTAATAATCAAAATATTACTTTTAACTACGACCTGAATGTCTAAACTATCATCCATGTTATTCATTAGAATAATTGAATAATTTAATGAGCTTTTAAAAAGAAATAATTCATACTTATTCATCTGGGTACTAAAATCTGAACAACAAACACACTGTATATCCTTCTGGCAATTCAAATCATATTCTAGCGTCTTAGACAAGTGTGATGACAAGTTTAGTTATTCATCCAAATGTTCCAATTTCTATATTATCTATGACATTCATATATTCTTTATGTTGATGTTTCTCAATTTGACTTTTTAATTTTACATTTTAAACTTAGTTTTTAAAATGTCGTTATTCATTACAATAATTTATTCCTTTATACTAAACTCTAAATCATAACTTTTAACTAAATTTTAACTAATTACACACGTTGTATTCCCTTCTGAAACGTAAAATGATCATTGACAAGTGTATTGTTATAAGAAAATATAATGTTTTGGGGAAAATAGGGGTTGGAGTTAGAACTGAAAATACATGTGTTTTGATGGTAGGCGAGTACCAATACTGAAACAGGACAGAGGGGAATAAAAACAGGATAGGGCAAGATAGATGCTGAGCAGGAAATAGTATGGACTTAAACGGATATGACAAGATAATAATGAGTATGTACAATGTATAGAATATGGGCTCAACAGAATGTTTAACTGGTACCTGTTGAACCAACTTACCAGTCAACCCACTTACTGACACTGCCTCTTTAGAGGCAATCCATCATCATCGTCGTCATCCCCACCATCATCTCTCTTCCTCTTTCTGTCTGCCACATCCCTGATGACAAGCATGGATCCAGTCACAGGAGAGTAGTTGGAGGAGCTGCAGCATGGGATCTCAGTGAGCGGGGTCTCAGAACAGCTGACAGATGTAGCAGGGAGGAGGAGGTCAGTGAAGCTGATGGAGGGGCTGGCTGGGTTGGAGAAGGAGGTCCACTGATAGTAGGGCAGGTCATGGTAGAACAGGGTCTGCAGATTGACAGGCAGGGAGGGAGAAGGCTGGGATGGGTTGGTGAAGGCCTGTGCTGATGCCTCATCACATGAAGATGAGCTGGCAACAGAAATGACAGAGTGTGAGCTGGTAATGGAGATGACGCTCTCTGAGCTGCTGATGGAAATGACACTCTCCGAGCTGCTGATACAGATGATGCTCTCTGACGGATGGACAGAAACAAGACTAGTGGAGCTTGTGGTTTGGCTGAGCTTGTCATCGCTGTAGCTAAGGCTGAGATCAGAACAGCTTTCAATGCATCTTGGGCTGAGGCTGGCGGAGCTTGAGTCAGGTGTTACTCTGAAAAGAGAGGAACCAAAGACAAAGCTAGGATAGTCAGGGTAGAGGAAGCTAGCCTCAGGGCTACCATGATAAGATCTTCCAGACAGCTGGCTCAGCTCGGAACTGCTAGGGGTGGGGTCCAGATCAAATGATACCTCCGAGCAAGAGGTCCTGCTGGAACATGAGGATGGGAGAAACTGGTTGGACAAACTCGGGGCAAGGTCATTGAGGCTGGAGGAGCTGGAGGAGGGACTAACTGGGAGGGAGGAGGCACTCCAGCTCTCGATGGGGATACCAAGGCAGGGGTCGTCAGGGTACATCATGGTTGATGTCTGCAAATTACAGACATTGTTGTAATCAAGTTTTAATAATTTAGCTCAGTTACTAGTAATTGAGGCAATGTCCCCACACTTACTTTCCCCAATTCGTAATAACAGAAAATAATATATTGGATATAAAATAAAGTGGATATGACGAATACAATCATTTGAAATATACTTTCATTATAAAAAATCTTCTGGTTCTCACTGTATCACACAATAATAATAATTGTTGAATTTGTTGCCATGCGTTACCTTGCAAACACTCCTTGTAATCTCAATACAGGCTCAAGAGTTCGTCAAGATAACCTGTAAAGAGGAGGGTAAAATGTTGTTCGTAATAATGATTTTTGCAAAATCTACTGCAGGGTTAGAAACTAACAGTTTTTGTCCACTAGTCCTTATAATGATGACATACAGCAAAACACTTAAAATGGGCCAATTTCTACTAGTCCTTAGGATACCTTTACTATTGGGCAGTTTGGTAAGGACTACAGGACTAGTGCCAATTTCTAACGCTGATCTAGCATAAGCCGTTCATGTACCCGGTTACCTATTACAATACATATAGTGAGACACATATAGTTTAAAATATTGGAGGGTTAATTGCCGGCATGTCTGAAGAGCTTAGAGCTAAAAGGGGCCAAAATGCACTTTTGCCCTTTTTGCATATTATTGCATAAATAACATCTATGAGTTCTTGTCTACCTGTAGAAAAAATATTGTACGTTTTCATTGATGCGTCTTTTTTAAATATAGCTACTTAAAATTCTATAATTTCCAAATATAATTATATAATCAGTTCCAAAAGGGCTAAAGTGTTGTTGAGACTAGTTGTCTGAGAGAGGTTTTGAATGTTTGGACACCTTATTATTTATTATGTTTCAACTATTTCAACAAAGTTGGTACTAGTTTAAATCATTTAAAAGTACTTCAACAGTATGTGTTTGTACTTTCAGTAGTAGTTAATCAATCTCACATGTTAAATCCCATGCAAATGCCTGAGCGTAAAAAAGGGCCAAAATACAGACATTGTCCCTTTCCACCATTACACAAATAAAAAACGAAAGTTATTTTCCTTTTTTGAATGTTTTTTATCTCTACTGTCAGAATGCATTAATGTCTAGGAATTTATCAGTAAAAAAAAGTCCATTAACATGCATATGGTTATGGTTTTCATCACTTTTCTCAAAACAGACTCCACATGACATTGGCCCTTACGGCTCTCAGCGCTTCATTTATCATTAGGCTGCGCTCTATCACACAGGCAAACCACCTATTTATGTGGAATAAGCCTTTTTCGGCAACAGTTTCAGTATTCGAGAAGACGTTAAGAAGACATCTTCAAGTTAAAACATTTCTAATGGTTTTGAAGATAGACATATGAAACAAAACTAAATTTGCTAATTGGCGACACTCGCAACAAAAGACACATTTCATTACGATGAAATTAGTAAACAAAACGGTTAAATAATACAATTTAAAGTGATTCAAAGTGTAAATAAATAAGTAAATAACCCGTAGGCAACAAGGAAGCACACGGGTGAGGCAAACACAGTCGTAAAATATTGGGAAACAAATCGCAGTGGAAACAAAACTAAAATGGCTACTTGACGACAATCGCGACAAAGACAGACATTTCAAAATGACTCAAATAGTCGAAAGAACGGTTAAATATTACAATTAAAGTGTTTCAAAGTGTAAATAGATCAGTAAATAACCTGCAGGCGACAAGGAAACACTTTGGTGAGGCAAACACAGTCGTAAAATGACGGCAACAAATCGCAGTGTATAGCAACAAGACTCTTCAAGCAAAATGAAGGACTCGAAAGAAGATCCTTAGCAACCTCTTACCAAATTCATACACATGAATATAGTGCTTTGTAATGTCACTATGTGTGTACTCGTAGCAGCAAAATACTGCTGTTAGTGGCATTAATGCAACACTGAGGATTAACCTTATACATCAGTCATCAGCATGAACTACATCAGTGAAAAACTGAATCCGGGAAACGTCTCTTAGCGACGTAAGCTGGGTCCCTTCTCTAATATCACAATATACGCTTGGCGCAAGTTGACGACGCGCATAGGGAGCCGGGAACCAGCTTACCAAAATGGCGCCTGATCAAAAAGGGAAATAACTCTTGTCCCTTTGTAAATGTGATTAGGTCACGAGGGATCGACAATTTGATATTCTGTGGGTGGGGAATTTTGTCTGGAGATTAGGTATTGTTTCAGCTACAGCTGCAAAACCAGATATTTTTTAAGATTAAGTTATAAGTTTATAATAATACGCTATACGCGCACTCACTCATAAATTGAGTATCATATCAAGATTTCTTTGGAATATTTTGGGTTTGAGACAATCATAGATCTGCGACTACCCTTAGTCTGTGATACAGAATGGGGCTTGCGACAAAGGATATGGTCTGTGACTGTCAGAACTCCCCATTGTAACACAGTTAAACAGTTGTAAAATACTTGATTCAGAGCTACAGATAAGCAGCGTATTTGCGTAAAATCCCCCCCCCCCCCCCCCCCCCACACACACACACACACACACACACCCCAACCCCACAAAAAAATAAATATATATATATATATGAAATGGTATTATAACGGTTCACGCCTATAAATATTTGGGACTTGTTTTCACTCCCAAATTAATTTGGACTAAGGCCGTAAAACTTTATGTGAGCAATCAAGCAAAGCACTTTGGTCAGTTAAATCGTTAATAAGACGTTATGACATTTCGGTTACGAAAGCATTCTTTATATTTGATAAAAAAATTGTTCCGATATTAATGTATGGTGCTGAGATTTGGGGATACCAAAAATGGAATACGATTGAAATTGTTCACCGCAAATTTTGTAAATTTTTACTTCACACGGGCTACAGAACTGCAAATGCAGTAGCCTATGGTGAATGTGGTAGGTATCCACTTCATACTATTTATTATGTAAAATGCATTAAATATTGGTTTAAGATTTTCAAATGAGTCCAAACAGATACCCATACCAGTGTTATAAAATGTTATTATCCATTGCTGATAGAAAACGTCCTAACTGGGCATCGCATATCAGACTTTTGCTAAGTCATTATGGTTTTGGGGATGTTTGGGCTGCACAAGGCGTTGGCAATGCAGAATTATTTGTACATATGTTCAGCGAAAGAGTTAAAGATTGTTCGCTTCAAGATTGGCATGCATCTCTAGGCAGCAAGACCCTCTCATTCTATAAACTGCATAAATCTAATATCGTTTGTGAAAAATATTTATCAAATATTAAGCATTGTGAATATAGAAGGCTAATAACCAAATTTAGATGTGGACAGAATACTCCTGGTATTCAACTTATACGTAGGGGTGTTGCTAATATTGAGGAGGATGCCGTCTTATGTAAACACTGTCATGTAATTGAGGATGAACTTCAGGTTATAAGTATATCCCGAAGCCAGTTAACCATAATTATTTTTGTTTAGAAAGACTCTGTCAACTATCCAACAACGATGCAATGATAAATTTTACAAAATTTCTTATGTACGTGTTCTCAACACACACACACACACACACACACACACACACACACAAAAGTATCAATTAGGTAACTCTTAGATAAATAAAATGTAAATGTATTTTGTACAATGGGTCAAATGGCCTTATACAAATAAATCTGTCTGTCTGTCTGTCTGTCTGTCTGTCTGTCTGTCTGTTATATATAAATTAAAAGTAATTTTTTTTTTATTCAAAACCCAATTACTTTCAATTTACTTGTGTACAGAAACTCATGCATTAAATGAAAAACTCAAATGTATAAAAACAGCACGCGTAAATTCCAAATGAAGCTTTTTTCAGCATGCGTACAAAGGAGCTCATTTCCGAAACACAATTACGAGCTAATTTACTTTCCGAGTCAAGCCTATATATTTAGAATAGTTATATACATCTAAAACATTATTTCCTTTTTTTTCAAATCTTAAAATGTTCACTTATTTTGGGAAAACCCCAATAGAGTGATGAATAAATGAGTGAAAAATTATTGGTTACCCAATGAAAAATGTAATAACCCAATTAAAATAAAAACCCAAGAGTAAAAACTCAATTGCTCAATTGAAGTGCTGTTGAATTGTGTTAATTTCCTGTTATACAACATAAAACCAACAAAACTGATAAGGAATAATAAAATAATTGAGAGTTAAAATAATTCAAACAGTGATATACATAATATGATTACCATAATCCCGGCGGCCCTAAAACCTCCCGGGTGAACGACATAACGAACTACGACCGGTTATTGTCAAATTAGCTTCCGTCGTTTTGATGTGCTGGTTAAAGGTCTTTTTATCTACAATGAGTGAGACAATCAGTGTGTTGTAATTATTTACTTGCCCAGTTCTCACAGCGTTGTTTGATCGCGTATAGCTCGCGCTAGTTTAGATGTTTGATTTGGATACTCCAGGTTAATTGAGGTTGGTAAGGCGTTTTGGCGACGCGAAACACAGCCGAGAACAAGACGAACGCCATTATGAATAATCAGCTTTCGAATGTAATATGTCAATAACTGCATGTACTCTTCTCTTGTAAGTTAACAAAACACGCCATCTCGTCTTAATTTCATGAATACATTCAAACAAAGTGTTTCAACTGGCTTTTATCATGTTTCTTATTTCAAACGCGCTTCATGTCTTGTTATCAAAACGCAACCTGTAATTTGATTTAAAGAAGATGTCTGCAAAAATCTACCTTTGATGGGGTAAAGGTTCGGGTTAGTGCACGAGACAAACGTGCACAGTATCCGATACGTAGTGATGACTGCACGTGATCTGACTACGTTAATGATGTACTGTCAATTAAAGATGCACGTAGTCGGGTATTGACGGAATCTAAGGAGTATTTAAACCCCGAATTAATACCCGATTGTATTTAGTCCCACGGAACATACATAAGGTGTCTCATCAACGATAGCATTTTTTCGACTCTAACTTTCACGAGGATTACAGCTGAAATTGAAACATTTACTTCTGGGATTTTTTTACAGCAGTTCCAAAAAGATGACTCCAAGAATTGATTTGTATTTTTGTCTTATTGCACTGGCACTTTTTGCCGTTAGTTTTATCAGCAGTGTTGAAGGATGTTGGAGAACTAAGTTGTGTAACTATGACTGCAGACAGCGTAACTACCGCTCAAAAGATTATCCATTGGACTGTTCTCGCTATTACTTCTGTGTTAATGGCGTCAAGTGGCGAAATATGCGTTGTCCTACTGGGAGGGTCTTCTCCGGTATCACGCGCACATGTGTCCACCCGAACGACGTCACCAACGACTGTCCCTCCTCCTACACCAACCGCTACCCGGTTCGGACACAACGACCTAAATACGTCCGAACCACAAAGCGCCCAGTTCCAGGTAAGTGTATCCAAAGTGAGTGAGTGAGTGAGTGTGTGGTTTAACCTAGCTTTGAAATGTAAAACCCAACGTAGGTGAGGTGATTTGGGTTTACGTCGCGTTCAAGATTATTATACTTATAGCGTGCCTGTGTTCGCTATTCCGGACTAATACCGGTTTAATAGCGCTAGCCCACTGAGATACCAGGCGCAGTGTAAAATGGATACCCTTTAGACACGTAAAACTGACTTCGAGCCGACCAGTCCTTGTTTTAGCCCCTTAATGTCGATCGTCAGGCAGGGTAACAATAAGTACCATCTTTTAACGTCTTTTAGTATATTACGCGACCGGGGATCGAACCACCGACCTTCAGTTGTCCGGGTAGACACACTTTCCACTCGACCATGAAGACGGTCCAAACCTAAGGCAACTCAGTAGACGATTACTAGTTTGGTGAAACTTACGGACACACAGGCTATAAACGGAAAATTTAGGATTAGAACCATCATTGTCAATACATAAAGCTTATTCATGTACATTTTATACTTGTTGGGGATTATGTAAGTGAATACTGACTTTTAAAGTCACTCATGGTCTCTTAGAATACAGGATTCGAACCCACAAGCAAGTTTCTTGTTTGTCTGCCTTATAGCGCTCCTTGGCAATGTCTGGATGTGCGTCTCACGATTACTACACATGGCTTGTAAAAATATACACTACCAGTTTACGAAACTAAGGCTTTAAGTTTCGGATGTACATTGGTATATTTTTAAAAAATAATAATCATTTGGAAAATGTTGACATCTATTTTTACTTTTTTTTATATAAGTTGTTATGAATAGTCACTGTTCAAAGCGGCGTTAAACCTAACTGATTCAATGTGCATAGTACACAACGAATACTGAACTATGAACAGTCTTTTTGTTATCTCCAAAACGCCGTAATATTGGGAGTATAAAGATATTAGCATATTGGTTCATTACAACACGCGGGGGCGGTCGGGTAGCCTAGTGGTTAAAGCATTCGTTCGTCACGCCGAATCCCCGGGTTCGATTCCAAACATGGGTACAATATGTGAAGCCCATTTCTGGTGTCCCCCGCCTTGATATTGCTGGAATATTGCTAAAAGCGGCGTAAAACCCTCTCACTCACTCCCTCACAAGTTGACAATGACTTTACGAGTCGAACCAAGTGACGGTACGACATACTGACGCTATGAAAGCCAGCTATTTGCCCCGTGACACTATGTTAACTGAAAGCATCCCAGGTCTCCTTGTCTAAACACCCGAATTGGGGGGAATTCGGGGGTGAATGATTTAAGTTAGAGGTGATGTGTGATATGTGTCGGTTGTTGTGCATCTCGTCACAGTGTCTATAGAGAGACCCAGGTCTGGCCTCTACACTGTTGTCCATGGGTGAAACCAATTGCCACAGGTCGGCGAGACGTTATTTTTTGGCCCTTAAAGGTTTGTTCAAAGCGATGGGTTGTTTTCAAAATGGAGACTGACTGCGGGATAGTTTATTGCGCGAATCGAAGAGAGGCGAATTGAATGTATGTTTGTTTGTTTAGTTTGTTTGTTGTTTAACGCCGAACTCAGCAATTTTTCCAGCTATACGACGGCGGTCTGTAAAATACTAATGGAGTCTGGACCAGACAATCCAGTGATTGATATCATGATCATCGATCCACGCAATTGGGATACGATAACATGCATCAACCAAGTCATCGAGCCTGACCACCCGATCCTATTAGTCGTCTCTTACGACTAGCACAGTCGCCTTATATGGCAAGCATGGATTACTGAAGACCTATTCTACCCCGGATCTTCACGGGTCGACGAATTAAATGAGTTAGTACGATTCCAACAGTTGTATCACAGCGTGTCAACTTGATATTTTTTTGGAAAGTAACGCCGTCTGGCACGTCTAAGGCACGCGTCTCTGCAACGTAATTTAGCGCGCCTCAGGCAATCTTCGTGAACCTGAAAATGTTCTAACTTATATGAGTATATTTAAGATATGATGAAATAAAGCCATTCGTAGAACGTTCTCCAGTGTATGAATGTGTACCTCGTGGCAATGTTTCAGTGTACTCCATGGCAACGTTTCAGTGTACTCGATGCATGGCAATGTTTCAGTGTACCTCATGGCAATGTTTCAGTGTACTCCATGGCAACGTTTAAGTCTACTCCATGACAATGTTTCAGTGTGCTCTATGGCTGTTTGTTGTGTACATCATGGCAATGTTTCAGTGTACCCCATGGCAATGTTTCAGTGTACCCCATGACAATGTTTCAGTGTACCCCATGGCAATGTTTCAGTGTACCCCATGACAATGTTTCAGTGTGCTCCATGGCGATTTGTTGTGTACCTCATGGCAATGTTTCAGTGTACTCCCTGGCAATGTTTCAGTGTACCCCATGGCAATGTTTCAGTGTACCCCATGGCAATGTTTCAGTGTACCAGTCGTGTGGCATCAAGAGCTCCCCCAACATCATGGGCGGAAGTGAAGCACGCGACGGCGAGTGGTCGTGGCAGGTGTCGCTCCAGTCCCGCAGCAGGACTTCCGGTAGCTCGTCTCACTTCTGTGGGGGCGTCCTCATCAACAGCCGCTGGGTGGCCACAGCCTCTCACTGCGTCATCAGGTCAGTGGAATCAGCTTTTCAGTTGCTTTGAAAATTCTCTATCATGATCCCTATATATGTCTGTTTCCCGTTATGTCTTATTGTACAGCCCGGGTGGGATTAGGGTAGATAATCTCTGACACACACTTATCTTAATAGCCGATTAAAATGAGTGAGTGAGTGAGTGAGTGAGTGAGTGAGTATGGTTTTACGCCGCTTTTAGCAATATTCCAGCGATATCACACAAGAAATGGGCTTCACACATTGTACCCATGTCGGGAATCGAACCCGGGTCTTCGGCGTGACGAGCGAACGCTTTAACAACTAGGCTACCCGACCGCCCCCGATTAAAATGAGGATAGGCTGGTCACAATGTGTGACCACGTTGATTCTATGTCACCGCACCAAGACAACGCCTGGTCCAGGCGTAAAACAAGTCCCACCCACTCATCCTCCCGAAGCAAGGGCGTTAACTGACTATAAAAGTCCAGGTTCCAGCCCTGCCGAACTAGGTCGGAATTACGGCGTTACATTTTCGCTGGACCAACGAGTCTAAAACATAGTCCAATCAAATTCGCGTAACGAATTAGACATCCGGTTCGTAAAGAACATGGATTCAAACGTGCAGATTTCGGTCGACTGCAGGATGTGCAAGCTTGTGTACCACAAGCTGGGCGTCGACAGATATTTTGCAAATCTTTTCAAGTTTTTAATCAAGGTGCTCAAATGATTTGATGAACTTCGCGGGGTAAGACCTGTTTTATTACAGTATAGATCTTGATTATAGATCAGATCGTCATGACTTGGCGCCGCCATTTTTTTTGAAGCAAATGAAAGTGATATGAGAGGTGGAATCTGATTTGTCAATAGGAAGGAAATAGAAGGGACATAACTCGTAATAGACAATTGTCGGCGCTACGGTCGTGCCTGGAAATTGTTCGCTAAGGGTGGAAACTTGACTTTTATAGTCAGTTAACGCCCTTGCCTCGGGAAGGTGCAATCATTAAACGAGATATTCATGAGGTTCTGAGGCTTCTTATTCTAAAGCATAATTCTGTCTAGACATCTTAGAGTGTCACTTACTGTTTGATTGGCATTCTAGACGTTGGTGGGGAAACAAGAAAACGTACAACGTCTTCTAATTGTGAGTGAATGAGGTTTAACGCACTCATATCAAAAACAGATCTCAGTGTTCGCTACCGCTGAACAAAGATCTGAAGACATTCCATTACGGGCCAGAACGACCTTTCATCCGACTAATCAGAGCGTCCTGTACCAGATCTGGAAAGTGACATTTAGAAAGTTTTCTAATCATGCAACCTCGAAAAGCTTAATATGATGTAGTCCGAAAATCATCGTCTATCTCTCGCTTCAATGGGATATGACATGTGGGGTGTGAGATGTGGGGTGTGGGGTGTGGGGTGTGGGGTGTGAGGTGTTGGGTGTGGGGAATACATATCCTATTACAAATACACTATACTAGATTACTGTGTAAGGCCATGTATAATCTCAGTATTCTGTGACCACAGACGTTTCAGCGGGACGATAAAGGTCGTCATTGGCGCCCACAATCTGCGCAAGCCGAGTCGGTACCAGGTCAAGGTCGGCGTTCAGTCCATACACATGGTAAGTTAATGACACCCCTCAATCCTACCTTGAGTCAGTCTTGTGCAACTAAACATTTTTTAGCTGGAATATCTCTTATCATCCATTGTTCTGGAGAAGCTTAGTATTAAACTCCCCGAACGATGGGTTTTTCCATACCGCTGACCACAGTATTCACAGAGGCACGGAGCACCAAGCTGTCTTAGTCTCCACGGTTCGGTGTGAATGTCCCTAAGGTGGATTCGATATCCAGATTCGCCCTCATTACGATCATGATCAGAGTTGTTTCCCTTGGGTGTACTAGGATCCAATAATTCTGGATTCCATATCCATATCCTGAGTATGATCCTTGGTCAGTGCTTCTGGTTTCAACAATGTACTCGTATTCACACGGGCAAGAGCCAGAGACATTATGTGGCTGGAATATTTCATGTTAAAAGCGGCATAAAATGTGTCTTCCATATTGACGCACCTACAAAGATCTCATGATCATGTACAGTGACTTTGAGTAGCTTCTTCTGTTTGTAGACAGAAACATTTTGAAGCCATCATTGAGTCTACCTGTCCATATGTCCAAATACCAGCACGTGTCTTATAGCCCTCGGGGCACGGGTGGCCCAGTCGTCTAAGTTGTGTCCCTTTGGGCACGCCAGAAACCTATGATTGTGGGTTCGAATCCCGGTTCGCTCCGATTATGTTTCTAGGTTTGTCAGCACCATACCCGTGCTCGTGGGTTTCACCGAAGTGGTAAACGTCAGAGACCTGCATCACTTCGGGCTTTCCTCCCACATTTAGCTGTCACGCCGCGATATAACTGTGATAGTGTTAAACACGGCGACAAACCCAACTCACTCACTCACCCACTCTTATAGCCCTCTAAACTGTAGTTGTCGTTTCGCTGTTGACAGCACCCAAAGTACCAGAACATGGGGAGTTACCCAAACGACATCGCTCTCATCAAGCTGGCTGACCCCGTGGACCTGCGCAGTGGGTTCATCCGGGAAGTGTGTCTGCCCAAGCCCTATGAAGTATTAGCAGACGAGAGCGCCTACTCCAGAGAGTCGGGTTGTTGGGTCACTGGCTGGGGGATGACGTCAAGTGAGTTTCAACACCACAACGTAAAATACAACGTCACCTCAACGTAAAAATACAACGTTCCCACAACGTAAAATACAACGTCATCACAACGTTGTCACGACGTGAATATGACGTAACACAACGTTGTGCCATGACGTTGTGACAACATAAATGGGAGTCCACAGAATAACGTTATATGGACGTAGCATCCGCAACGTTACCACAACGTAAACACAACGTTATCACAACGTTGTCACAACGTGAAATTGTTAGCTGGGGTCTATCTATATCATAGATGCTAGAAATATAACTTAATTTTGATCCTCGGTCTGTTACGAAATAATATGCTGGTATGCGGGTGTGGGGTAGAGTGGAGGGTCCCTCAAACTTAATATTATTTTTAATGATTACTGAATAGATGGTACAAGCATATCCTCCATAACTGGGCGTGGGTGATATGACGTTGTAATTTGTCTGTACAGAGTTACGCCCCTTAGCCTTACCAAGATCAAGCTCCTCACAGCGATAGCCCGTTCGCGGAGCTCGCTATACTATTGCTGCCACCAGTCAAAACTCCCCACTGAAATATGTGGTTACAACCATGCTTGAAGTTGAACTCGCAACCGACGGACCGTTATGCTAACAAACAATCGATGATTGCCGTGACATTGAAAACTCTTACCCTAACTAAATTATTGTCTTTGTTTGTCAATTTGAATTTCTATTTCATTTTAACAATCATGGACTTGGCATAGTGAGTATGTAAGGGGGGATTTGAATGATTTTCTGTTCGTCTGCAATCTCGAACCAATCTGATCAAACAAACAAAAAGTTTAATTCATCTGGGAAATATGGTCAGTCGTAAACCTTTTTAAAATAACTGTATTGGCGTTCCCAAAGACATTAACAAAAGTATAAACGTTACTACATTTGGGGTTAGAGGGCAAATTTCAAGAATCTTGTAATGGCCGCGCCCACACTGGTGGCAGCGATGTTACCGAGAGTGTAACGAAGGTGTCACGCCCTGGGAAGGAGCTTGTACCAAGATGCGTTGATTTGGGGCTCGCGGACCATATTCGTTTTCAGTTTGGATCATAAAAGCAATAAATTCATGTAACTGGTTGCATTCACACCAGGGCCCCGTTCCTCAAAGCGATCTTAGCGCTAAGGTGATCGTAAGTCCCATACTTTAACATAGGCTAACGATATCGTAAGTCATTCAAACCCATAAGTCACACCCTTTTTCTCATCTTCATGATGTTTTCAACAAGTTATCAAAATGGGTGTACATTTTTCCAGAGGCGAGGTACAGCGACGTGTTGCAAGAAGTTCGCATAGGTTTGGTGAACAACACCTACTGCGCCAAACTGTGGCGCGGCTACGTCAACAACAACCACATCTGCGTTGGCATGGGTGACAAGGGAGCGTGCAGAGTGAGTTAGTTTGCAGACTGTAGTAGAATAATTAATGAAGCAAAATAGGCAAACCTATTTCTCTTGGTTTGTTGTAATGTTAATAAGGGTAGCAGATCCGTATGTAGAGTTGTATTTTTTATTGTCGGGTTTACTTCATGATATGCTCATGACATTAATCACTGGATTGTCTGGTCCAGACTCGATTATTTACAGACCGCCGTCATATAGCTGGAATATTGCTGTGTGCGGCGTAAAGCAACAAACAAACCAACCAACCAACTTCATGAACCTTCACTGTGGTATTTCAGGGTGACTCTGGAGGACCTATGATGTGCTCAAAGAACGGGCGCTACTACCTGGTCGGGATCACGTCGTGGGGTGAGGAATCCTGCACTGAGTACGGCTACCCTAACATCTTCACCAGGGTATCCAACTACATGAAGTGGATCACTGACACCTTGAAGGCAAACCCTTGATCACGTGGCTTGTTTTACCAGACGCAGACGACTTTTGACTTTCCGCCATCTTGGGCGCTACACGGCGACGGCAGCACGCCTGACTGTCTGACTTTCAGGGACGAACACTACAAGGGATTGCCATTTCAGGCATAATAGACCCATGGAATATGCGCAGCTATGCCTGAGATGTTCTAGGACTAGACAGAAAGACGACCCGTTGTCATGGGAAATGGAGCCCTACCTCAATGTGACACACATTTCTGAAGCTGTAGAACCCACAGTACAACCAGCCACACCTGAATTGTTTGGATTGAAAACGAAACAATGCATAGCCCTAATAATCAAAGTATTCACAAGCATATTTCAGTTATATTTTGAACCGTAGTTTTGTAAATATTTAATAGCCTTGTCGCATATTAAGTATGTTTGAATAAATCAAAAACATACACTTTCCGTCTCTCTCGTTTTCAAAATTGTATCAATTTTGAACCCGAAAAAAATATCTTTGGTACAGTTTCACTTCTATATATACGTCCTAAAGAAACGCAAAATACAAATATTTTCAAGTTACACTTCCCTCTTATCTTCTGTGGTTAACTTTGTGTTAGTTCCGTCTTCAGTTAATAAAATATGTCTTAAGGCAACCGGATTGGGAACAATACTCCAACAAACATAAATGTTAATGTGACGGTTCCATTTCGGATGTGCTTTCAGTTTACGTTGCATGAGAAAAAGACATTTTTGTTAGTAGACACTTGTCGTTGTCACAGTTGTCGATCAGTCTCATTAGCCCACAATTATTGAATAATTTGTTCGTCGACATTCGAACAACTTAATATATTAATAATCTATTTCTTCTAAACATGAAAAAGAAGGAAAAAAGGCTTAATTGCTCTTCGGCCAAGGGGGCAGTTTGGGATGCAAATAGTCCATCACTAACCGCGGGACTTTGGTAAAAACAGGATATTTTTTCAGCAATTTTTTTCAAAACACAAACATTTTTCTGTGAAAGGAGAACATTCTCATTTATTTTTACACATATTTTTTCCCAGACAAAGAACATGCCATGAAATATGGTATAATTATCGGAACGAAAATGAGGCCCCCAAACAAACATAATTGACTAAAATAAAATTTAAAACAATTAGAATAAAAATATTGATCATCATTGGAGAATGAGGTACGTGTAATTTCGAATCCGTAGCGCGATTCAGATTATTGTGGTCGATGCATGCAATTACTTTCGTAGAACATGGTTTCATGTTTTTATACACTGACGTGTACAGCATATACACGCCTGTAATTGTCCTTGTATAATTGTATGTGTGTATCTATACATCTGTATCTTGTTATTTGTTTCATTCACGCTGTGACATGGAAGATGTTGTACGTAGAAGCCTATTCCTGCACAGAGGTCGATATGTCCTTAAAAGTTGAACCGTAAAATACACGTGACATTCGCTCAGCTGCCTGAAGGGCAAACCGGTTATGTCATGGCCCGTTTGTCCGTCGTCTGTGAATATTTTCTTCTCCGAAACCACTGCGTCTATGAAGCTGAAATTGAGACGCATCTTCTCACCAATGATAAAACAAAAGCGTGTTCCGGAAATTTGGAACCGATTTTCAATTTGGCCGACATGTCAATGAAGTAGAGTTTGGTGCACGTGTACTATGTATTTAAAGAACACCCGAGTCTTTCATATTACTATAGTCAATCTTGTAATAATCTTGTAACCTATAGTAATGTGAAAGAATCGGGTGTTCTTTAGCTTCTTTTGAGTAGTATATTAGAATAACGATGTTGACAACAAAGTTTGTTGACATTTGAAACTGTTGACAAAATACCCAGGTGAGCTACAGTGCCATGACACTATTTTCCTCTTTTAACATTGTGTTGTACATTACGCAATGAGATTGTATAACCACAGTAAACGGGGATTGACTATACACGTGTACAACGATACGGTATTCATCAAGGTGTATGTACAATAAACATGTATAGCCATACGGAAATTAGTAATAGCATTGATTTCAGAATAATAAATAAGTCCATTTTCTCAGATCGGTTTTATAGTGACTGTCCCTTAAAACTATAGCATCACCTATCTCTAAATGTAGATCATTGATATCCAGCCTGATCTACTTTGAAACGAACACAAACTCATCACAGAGACCTTTTTCTTTGACAAAGATGGATTCTGTCCAAATTTGTTGTTTCATAATAAGAGAATGTTATCGTTTATAGTAGCACGGTTACGCACGTGTCAAAATTGCGATTAATAGTAACATCGCCATAGTAATTCTTTTGTGCAAACTCGGTGTTTTAATAAATGGTTCAACCTGCTGGACTTGAATTGTCCTTTTTCGTCTCTCCTCCTTGGTGCTGAGACTTGTGGCTGTCACCTTGATGCTGAGACCGTCTATGTGACAGAGAGTTGCTGCCGGGGCGAGTTGTGCCACATAGAAAGGCGATGTTGAGACGGTCTGAACTGTTCCATCACATACTTACTTCAAAAACAGAGTTTTGAAATATTAGAGAGTGCTTTAGTGAGTTGGGTTTGACGCCGATTCGATCACTATTTCACGGCGTGTCAGCTTGAGATATAGCACGGGGTGTCATGCCTAGATTTGATCAGGTTCAATGAATCTGAATGAAATTGTGTGTGTGTGTGGGGGGGGGGGGGGGGGGGGGGGGGGGTGTCCAACTACATGAAGTGGATCACCATCCATGAAGGCCAACCCTTGATCACGTGGCTTGTTTTACGCAGACGACTTTTGACTTTCCGCCATCTTGGGCGCTTCACGGCGACGGCAGCACCAATCTGATGATAGTGTATAATCTTTGTTTTATCCTTGTTGACAGTGAGTTTCCATTTCATTGTCCAAGTATGAAGGCAGTCTAGGAGCTGTTTGTTTGTTGTTTAACGCCGCACTCAGCAATATTCCAGCTATATGACGGCGGTCTGTAAATAATCGAGTCTTAATCAGACAATCCAGTAATTTACATCATGAGCATCGATCCACGCAATTGAGAAACGATGACATGCATCAACCAAGTCGGCGAGCCTGATCACCCGATCCTGTTAGTCGCCTCTTACAACAAGCATAGTCGCCTTTTACGGCAAGCATGGGTTACTGAAGACCTATTCTACCCCGGATCTTCACGGGTTGAGCTGTTGTAATCTGGCGCTATTAACGCAGCATCGTCAGCATATAATAGTAACAAGACGTAGATGTTGTCGATGTCGCCTCCGCGCTGTAGTTCACCGATTTGGTCAGCAAGATCGTATATATACATTTAAAACAATGTCGGTGACAAACAGCAGCCTTGTTTTACCCCTACTGTCACATCAAGCCACTTCAGCGTGAACTTTACTCAGCATTTAACTCGATATAGTGACTGTATAGCCGACATAAATGGAATTAAACGTTCTCATCCTGTAACCAATGTCTCGGAAGTTTGTTCCTCTCCAGACCGTCTCCGTGGTCTAATGGTAGAGCGTCCGCCCGGAGAGCGGAAGGTCCGGGGTTCGATCCCCGGCCGCGTCATACCGAAAGATGTTAAAAAATGATACTTGTTGTTACCCTGTCTGGCGCTCGGCATTCAAGGGCTAAAACAAGGACTGGTCGGCTCGGAGTCAGTATACTGTGTCTGAGTGGTGTATTCATGTTAAACCGCGGCATGGTATCTCAGTGAGCTAGCACTATAAATCGGCATCAGTCCGGACTAGTACAAACACACACACGTACATGCACGTCGCTATATAAGTGCAATAATCTTGGACGCGACGTCAAACCCCATTTCACCTCACCTCACCATCATCAATAAGAGGGGCGGTCGGGTAGCCTAGTGGTTAAAGCGTTCGCTCGTCACGCCGAAGACCCGGGTTCGATTCCCGACATGGGTACAATGTGTGAAGCCCATTTCTGGTGGATCCCCGCCGTGATATTTCGGGAATATTTCTAAAAGCGGCGTAAAACCATACTCACTCACTCACTCTTCAATAAGACAGGTGGTTGTAGGAAATCTTGTGTCAAATAGTTGCCATATTTGTGTATTTCTCGCACTACGTTGTCGCTGTTTTCGCGCATGGCGTCCACGAGTGAGTTTCGACACAACTTGTCTTGTTCATACATAATTTGGGTATGGAAAGTGACGCTGATGGGGACGGATGATGATGTTCAATCCACGTCATTTGAGGAATCCTCATCAGAAGCTGAATATGAGTGAATCATATCCAGACGTTTGAGTGAGTGAGTGAGTTTGGTTTTACGCCGCTTTTAGCAATATTCCAGCTTCACACATTGTCTCCATGTCGGGAATCGAACCCGGGTCTTCGGCGTGACGAGCGAACGCTTTAACCACTAGGCTACCCGACCGCCCCCCGACGTTTGAAGCGAAAACACGATGAATGACATTGCGTTTGTCCCACTAATCAAATTTGTTGTCATATTTACTTCTGTTGATCCGCGATAACGTTTGACAAAGTTGAGTTCAATTGTTTTTGAGATATTCAGAAAATCTTTGGCGATGTGGGGCACATGAGAGAGTTGGAAAAAGGAAATATGGTAGGGGTCGGATGACAAACTTAACCTTTAACTGTAGCATCTATCCGGGGAAAATACACTAAGAGTGCGATCACAAAGAGTCTTAGTTAATCTAAGGGAGGTATGTCCAATGTTGACACAGATGTGATAGTTAAGCAGTTCAGAAAGGTCAAACATGCACAATGACTGATGAGAAAAATGAAAAAATGACGTAAATCCTAACATTCCCCCCACTTCTATTATCAGTCCTCTTTTAGGGTGCGTCTTTACGGGCCATCAGCTATCACATGTTCCAAAACTCCTTCCATGATCGTAAGAAATCTCTGCTAAAATTAGAGTCATTTGTACGATTCCAACTGTATCATAAGCATTTGTTGTGAATAGAATAGTGATGATACGGGTGTTCGCGAACAGTAGGCCAACAAGAGATGCGAGAAATACAAGGAGGCATATCTGTGCAAAAAGTACGAGTCGAGAATACAAGCTCTTATGTTGAAGCCACTGGTACCTAGCTACCGTTCCATCTCCTTTGTACGTTGCTGCTAGTCAGAATTCAAACTCCCATTCCTTACGATAAACTAAAACAACACTTAAATCCCGACCTGTTCTTATTACCTCTTTCTTTCGGTCTAACCCTGCCCGCCAATCACAAGCGTCAGAGTGAAAGTAATTTAAGACAGACCCAGCTGTTACTAGCCAGTCCCATCCTTGACTTTGGCGACCCGTGAAGATCCTGGCTAGAATAGGTCTTCAGCAAACCATGCTTGCCGTAAAAGGCGACTATGCTTGTCGTAAAAGGCGACTAACGAGATCGGGTGGTCAGGCTCGCTGACTTGGTTGATGCATGTCATCGTATCCCAATTGCGTGGATCGATGCTCATGATATTAGTCACTGGATTGTCTGGTCCAGACTCGATTATTTACTGACCGCCGTCATATAGCTGGAATATTGCTGAGTGCGGCGTTAAACAACAACGAACCAACCAACAAACTTTACTTTGGCACAACTTTGTCATGTTTCTAGCGTTCTTGTTTGAGGTGATTGCCCGTAAAGGAATGTTAGAAAGAAGTAAAAACAGATTACAATGGACAAACCTTTGGATTAAGGAGACCCTGTTATTTTGAACACCTAACATCTGATCTTGTAAAGGATGACGTTGATATGCCTAATGAAAATGTTAGAACACAAATAATTAAAATAGCGGAAATGACCATTCGAAAATCATCCGTAAAAACTAAGCTTTCTCTCCAAAGTCTTGGTGGAATGACAGTTGTGAAAAGGACAACATCGCAAGGAAATAAGCATATAATAGAGTTTTACCAGTCTTCACTCCAGTGTGATTTGTCCATTTTCCTGAAAAAACAGCCATTTTCCAGCGTATTCTTCGTAGCACTAAATGAGAATATGTTTCTAATATCGATTTGGGCGGTCGGGTAGCCTAGTGGTTAAAGCGTTCGCTCGACACGCCGAAGACCCGGGTTCGATTCCCGAAGTGGGTACAATGTGTGAACGCATTTCTGGTGTCTCCCGCCGTGATATTGCTGGAATATTGCTAAAAGCGGCGTAAAACCATACTCACTCACTCACTCACTCACTCTAATATCAACTGATTCATTAACTACAATCTGAACGCGGATGGGACTCAACCCCCCAAAAGGACTAGATTCTTTAGTTTACTAAGAAAGTGTTCTCCCAGATTTAACCACTTTCCAAATGGCGTTGTGTGTTCATAGCTTTCGGTCATGGGGGCCGTGCCAATTTACACTTGTCAGAGGGGTACACAAAGTACGTGCTCCAGACTACCAGGTGTCGGACTTTCATTTTTGATGAAGCCTCGGTGGCAGAGTGGGTTAGATCGCTTACTTTGTGTGCTGGTGATAAAGTGCCTCACTTTGGCAGTGTGGGTTCGCATCCCGGATGGGACTCAACTCTCCCAAAGTACTAGAATCTGTACTTTACTGAGAAAGTGTTATTTCAGGTATAACGTTTGTTATATTCATGAAGATATCTCGACTTTGAGGTCGTGATTCACAATTTGCACGTGCATGTCCACTCAAGGCGCACAATTTGGATGTTTGCGTGTTTGTTAGGAGCATGATACTCACACACGTGGATTTGAATGTGAACAGCACACAATGATTTTTTAGCTCTCTGGTCCACACTTATGTTTAACCGTAAATAACGCTTACGCATTAACACGGCTAGCTTGAAATCAACGTCTCCGCGCAGTGGGTATGCTGAAAACAGTGTGCCAGACATTGTATGTTCATCGAAACACAATGTCATCTCTTTGGAGACATTATCTACAGCAAAGCGACACCCATGACTTGCCCCGGGCCGGACGTCCACCTGTGACGCTACGTCAACAATACAACCATATTCGGTTGGTGCATCTACGGAATCAATACCGAACTGCCACATTAACAGCTCGATCAATTCCTTGGTTGGGACACATTAGTTGGCAAAACACAACCGGATGAGGGAGCACAGCATCCGACTCGACGTCCAGCGATACAGCCAACTTTCATTTCGCCATTAGGCACGCCTTAGTGGTGTAGACAGCATCTGAGGTTCGGAAAACAAGACTGGGACAGTATACTGTTCACAGATGAGTCCATGTTTCATCTGACCCGTGAAGATCCAGGGTAGAATAGGTCTTCAGCAACCCATGCTTGTCGTAAGAGGCGACTATCCTTGTCGTAAGAGGCGACTAACGGGATCGGAAGGCCAAGCGCGTTGACTTGGTTGAAGCATGTCATCGATCCCAATTGCGTGGATCGATGCTCAT